AACAAAGACTTGTTTTTTGTATTTCTCTTGTGAAAACTTTAACATAGAAGCAAACTAAAATAAGATGAGATAACGCTAAGGACGAGGCAACCAGCCACCTCAGTCCTTAACCGGTCGGAACCCAAACCCTTAGCCCTTACAATTAACAAGTAATCTAATAATTAGCTATAAGGTTATATATAAAATTCCAGATCTAGGGATTTTCAAAGTTGCTCTCATTAGATGTTGACGTTGGATGATTAAGACGTATTTGAACTTTTGTTCAGTCTCGTTATTGTGAAAACAAATGACTATAAGTGTGACTTAATTACTGTCTGTGCGCTGCTCTATAGTACAATCATTCTATAAGAGAAGCAAAAATATTTATTATTAGTTTAGATTGTTTTAAAAAGTGTGGTCGAGGGAATATCAAAGCTTGAAAGGACGGAAGTCTCTAGCATGGACAACAATCCAATAGGTGAAGAAAAGTAATATCATTTGCACCGCGAAGGGACCATTCAGGAAGTATATTTCTCTCAATATAATATTGATAAGTGATTGATGATTGATGATGGCCAAGCCATCATCATGGTAAGAATTCCGACTGCCAAGTTAGTGTTCACCAGTTGAATCGGTAGCTATATATATATATATTAAGTACTCAGCGGGTAGACACATAACACTTACTGATTGGGCACAGATCCGCTAGGCTGTGGCTCATCCTCTTTCCCACACGTCCCTGTTTCTTTCTTTCTCCTCTCTTTGTGAACATATCCTGAGTGATTGATTGTATTAAAAAAAAAAAAAAAAAACGGAAAAACACTGAAAGTGTTTGAAATTATTAAATATTTTAAGGTAACAAAACTGCAAGTGAATGCGAAACTGAATTCTATAACACCGGATGTCTTCAAATATGTTTGCAACCGTTTTTCGATTTTCATTCTGGTAAACTCCTCGTTTTTAAAAATTATCCAATGAGTAAGAATGTGAAAAAGAAAAACCACAGGACGGATGCTTGCAATCACAAAATTACTCACACTTCGAAAGACTTCAACAAAAGCATTGATCTCTTGTTCTTCATTCATTCATTCACTCATCATCAAATCATCGATGAGACATATTTCTGCGCAAAATATGACGCGACTTTTTCCTCTTTTCTCAAATACTTATAATAACAATTTTTCGAATGATGATTTTTCGCCTTAAAAAAATTTCAATTTAAAACTATTGCATAAAAAAATGGCCTAAGTGGCCGAGCAGGCCAAGTAGTGTCTCAAATAACGACCCATGATGGTGATGGGTTCAAATGTTAAGTGATTTGAAGTTTTCAATAAAGCCGATAGAATAGCCTCAGACGCTAGTTCTGTTAAGACTAAGACTTTAGTGCTTGAATTTATTTCCCTCATTAAATTAATTACAATAATAATGATAATAATAATATTATATAAAAAATATTTTTCAATAACTTTGGAAGGAAATCGTAAAAAATCTTTAATGATTTATAATTTTTTATTTTATTTATTTAACACAAATTTATTGCAAAAATCTCCAACTAATCACATATTAAAGGGCATATAAAAACTTTATAGAATAAACAAAGTGCTATGTTAAATATTTAAAAATGTTAAGACTTATGATACAATATTTGAATAATGTTACCGTATTAACCAATTAAATGTGCATAGCGAGTATATACACCATGATCCGTCCATCCGTCCTTGTCGGATATCCTAATAAAATTTTTTCATTACTAATGTGTCATTGGCCATAATAACGACAAGTGTATGAGTCTATCGCTAAAAAGATCGGCAGAGTAGAAAAAAAAAAAAAACACAAAAAGACATGTAAATCTGATTTAATACATAAGCGCATCCACAGCCGATATAATCGCAAGCTTAAAGTTAACCCCTAAGCCGATGCAAACATGCAAGAACTTGACAACTGATAATACTGAATTTAACTGATTAACTAATGCTGAACTTGACTAAAATCTGCTGAGCTAACTAATTTTGATAGTCTTCTTGAAGAAGAACTGATTTTGATATTCTTTAACGAGTCCTATATTGATATGAAATTGTAGACGCTTTTCAGGTTTTTGCAACAAACAAATTTAAAAAAAAATTACCATATAAAAAAAAGTATGAAAAGCTTATTTATCTTAAAGCGAATCTTGAAAAATTTCCGATTATGACAATTCCATTCAAATGATAAATCCCTTGAGGGAAAGACATGGACAAGTCCCTCACTAAACAAACAATTAACTGCGTACTTCAAGCTCCGTTATATACAATACATATAAATCTATATGTAGTAGATCTACATATATATGTATATAGTAGATCTTAATCATTTTAAACATCTTAATATGCACACACACATGTATATATATAATCATATCTCCACCCACATACATGTAGACACAGACATATATATATATATATATATATATATAGATGTATATACGTAGGTATGCAACTATATATCGAGCTATGTTAAATATGCAAATATATATATGTTCATATGCGTACATACATTTATACACTTATGTTAATTTTGAAATATATATATATATACCCATTGACAATATGTTAAAGAAAGTTAAAGAAAATTTCTTTACATTTTTATATTGTTATGCTTTCTAACGGTAAGTAAATAAATAAATGGCAAAAATTACTTTTTAATTGAAGAAAGAATGAATAATGAAAAGACAGATAAAATGAAAGAGTTCCATTAACTTAGATAAATAAATGCGAGACAGTAAATAAACTGCGCGAGCCAGACGCTTGTCAAGTAAATCCAATAGAACAGTTGTTTATTTCATTTTCACGTTAATTGACAGGTGGATAACAACAAATAAAACATTATTCTGTTAAGCGACATAAATAGAGTCATGAAATATTTATGAGCCAAATACGACAAACTGATTATATTTTTAAAATAATATATAATAAAATGAGATAATATTTTTAAAATATTGAAATTTTTGCAATAAACAAAATATAAATAATAATAGAATAATAGAAAAGAACATTCTTTTAATTAGACATTGTCGGATGTTTTAAGCCTTCAACATAAAGAATATAATGACGATGAGGCGCTAGCTCTCTGAAACTAATTTTCCCATAGAAAATGGTATCCGCTTTACTTTAAAATTTCTTATGAGCTGGACACACAACCTACCATTCAGTGAAATACTCTGATGTAGTTTAGTTTGCCCATTCATTAGATTGAAAAGATAATTGCGGTAAAATTAATATGCAATAAATGCAAATTTTTTGAGAAGCGCTCAACACAATCTAAAAATCTATAAAAGCTTAGCTAAACTTTATGCCTAACATATTTCGGAAGAAAATAAAAAATGAAAGATTATCATCGCATGTGTACAGTGTAGACTTGTCTATGTTATTCTTGGGAATGATTATAAGGAAACCATCGACTGCATAATAAGTGGGCAAGACGTGCCGCCACCTAGAGGAGCTATTGTACACTGCCATGCCCCCGGGCCAACCAATTTTAGGATTTCTACCATACCGTGTTCGGCGTAAAGGAAAGTATTTGCCACACACACACACACACACACACACACACACAGAGAACATGGTGAGACGTTTCACTCGTCCCTTGGCAGAATCTGTTTGAATCGGTATCAAATATACGCAGGTTTTTCAGATCGTACCTGAGCGAAGACTATGACTCGTGCAGAAGTCGGTGACTAGTAGCGTAGGTCATTTCTTCTTTGTTGCAGCAGTCCGGAAGTTTTTATGAATCTTGCCTGCCGTTGTCCTGCACATTGTTCTCAACGGTAGTCCGCTTTATTCTGTGCCTATGGCAATACCACCCCATTAATGTCGCTTCTCCTTGGTATGCCACAGAACGGTTCAGGACCTACTATGGCGCCTCGGGCTGCCCTTTCGTTGTGATTTATAGTAAGTTGACACTTTTCTTAGTCAAAAAATCTAAGGCTCAATAGATTCTGATACTGAATGTAATCTTAAACATTTTTCTTAATTTTATAGAACAATACCGCTTCAACCTTTAATGTCAGCGCACTGATGCTGCAATAAAAATACTCTCTTACAATCATTAACTAAATATAGGATTATCAGCTTAATAAATTCGTTCGTAAATTGACGAGTTAAGCTACTGGGACCTACAGCCTTCGATATCATTATATCTTGTTATATCTTTTGTTTTTTTTTTATTGTTTTGTTTGTTATATAATTCAAATTTCTAATATATTCCTAATGCTACGGCAAAAGAAATGCTCGACATATCGTTAAATTTCTATGGCACGGGCTATTCAATGAATGCATGCGTTTTCATAGCATCCGTATCCCGAGCAGCTGTACCGACAAATTTGAGATCTAACTGTGTACACAATAACATGGTTTACAAAAACTTAAGTGACTCTTGGAGCTTTAGTCAAGAAAAATGGAATGGAAGGCAACGAGAGTAAAAACAAAAGAAAAGAAGCAAGAAATACAAAGAAAACATTGATTACAAGATTAATCAAAACATTTATTAAGAGCGATTCGTTTAGAATTTATATCTGAATTTTGTAAATTACAACACAGCACGTAAGATGCCAAAGCCAACGAGACGTTAAATTGAAAAAAAAGCATTCATTTCTAATTTGGATTTGGCAAACCATGCATAAGAAAATCATCATCTACCGAGTGAATGAACATAATTTCGTTGAGCGGAAAAACAAAAAAAAAAATAACCGGAAAGGTTTACCAACTTTGACCTGGTGACATCGAACAAGATCATTTTTGAAGCAACACATAATATATATTTCTTATATACTTTTAAAAAGTGAGTTTTTGGAATTTTTTTCAACTTAACAAAACAAATATATACATATACGTATATATATGTGTAGGAAAGTTTGCTAAAAGAACAAAAAAGAACAACAAAATCTTTCTCTTTTTCTGAATTTACATGCCATGTTATGCTCAAACAAGCGTCGAACAAGTTTTGTCTTTACATTTTTCTACCATTAATATCCCTAATATATTTACCATTATCATCAGGCAAATGATGTGTGGTTAAATTTGTTGTTGTTGTTTCTTTTAAAAACTCTTGTTGTGTACGCAGTAAAAATAGATTATCAGCATTATGTACTGCTTGGCCTGCTCGTGCTCCTTTTATTAGTTGTGGCGATGCTACAGCTGTTGTTTTAAAGCTTGTTGCAGTTATTTTCAAAGCTGCTGTCGGTGCCGCTGTTGCGTTAAACATTGAAGAATAATAGTCCATGGCTTGCGTATTATAGACGTTGACATTGAATGGATAACCCAAGAGTATTGTTAAGAATAATAAATGTAACGTATCTGTTATAATTGTGTGTACGACATTTTTAAACTTAAACCACATTTTGAAGCTGGTTTGCATACTTAAAACAATGCTCAAGGAGAGTTTTCAACATTTTCATCGTATACGAATATTAAATGTTTCTTAAGATGATATTTTTTTCAAAAATTATTGGTAAAAAACAAAAAAAAATAAATATAAATAAATAAAGAAAGTAAAGTAAGAGAAAATGTCTCGCAAAAAAGGCTCAAGACGTTTATATTTTCGAACACTTCTTATCTTTTAATAGTTAATGTGGCAGTACAGTTAACAGTTGTGTTAAAGACAGACATTTTCATCTGTTTTTTTTTTTTTTTTTGCTGCTAAAAGCTTCATTTGCATATTCTTTCCGTTATATTATGAAAATTTTTCATTTTTTTCATATCATAACATTTATTTATTTTTTTGTTTATTACCAGGACAACACAGCACTTCATATATACACCTACGTACACGTATGGATGTAGATTAGGCAAGCAAATTTTTTTGTAGAAATAAATATTTTCAAGTTTTACCAATCCAAGTATGTATGCATTGTTAGCATTTGTTTTTATCGTGATTGCTGGCTTATTACGAAAAAATTTGATGCATACTTTTCAGCTTAACTTGTTATAATGTTGATAGACTTTCCTTATAAAGTGAATGCATGCAAAAAAAAAAAAAAAAAAAAAGAAAAGTGTATTTTTTAATAATTTGCCTTTTAATACACTTGTGATATTTCCATTATCCTATTATTTTATTATATCATATGAGCAGTTAATGCATCTCTCATTTTCTTTGCGAACGGTTATACTTCAGTTAACATTCACTTATCGTTAGTGCATATTTGTGCTCTTCACGTTGTTGTGTTGTTTGTGTGCATGTATGCGTAAACATACTATAGCTAATGATTATTTCTTTTATTTCTTGCACGCACACACATATTTTAGTAAATCCATTAAAGAGATTTACTTTTGAAACACACACACACGCACACACACAACTTTTACTTAAGCACACAGATCTTTATTTGAAATGTAAAACACATGATGGCGAACTCAAAAAACTCAATTCCAAACAAGAGTATATGAGAGTGCGAATGTGTGGGTTTTTTTTTTTTATATTAGATTTGTTGTCAATTTTTCTATAGTTTTATCTTTTTGTATTCTTTTACAATTCTCTCGGTTATATATATGTAAGTACCCTGTATGTGATTACTTTCTTTTCTCATAGCACTTAACATACATATGTTTGCATTGCTTTTAAAAAGTCCTAAGGAGCCAACACATTTAAGAGCAGCGTATATGAAGCAGCGTATATGTGCTTTTAAAAAATTGAGAAAAGCAAACAAAAAAAAAAACAAAAATTAAATAAGTTTTCTTTTAAATTTTATATTTCTTCAATTTTTTTTTTTTTTTTGTTTTCGTTTTTTAATTTCAAAATTATTTTTTAACAAATAGCTTTCTATCGCTTTAACAATTAATCGAAATGTTCAAAGATGTCTGTTGTGTTGATTTCACGAAAAATTTTAATTTTCTTTTTAACACTTTAATATTTATTTTAAGTAGCTATTTATATTTATTTATTTTTTTTCTTTCTTTTCAAAGACTTGCGAAAACTTCTTTTGATTGATAATTATTTTAACACATTTTATTTATTTATTTATTTATTTTTTCTTTTCGGTTTTTCATTCACATAGATTACTTTATATTTATTTACTTTCTTCTTTTATTTTTAATTTTTTTTTATTTATTTGTTTTGATTTTCTAATTTTACGTTCATTTATTTACAGTCCTTTATATCACTTTTATTTTAAAAATCTTATTATTTTAACTTTATCCCCTATGTTTATAAAATTTGTTTATTTACTTAAATATATTGTGTTTTATTTTTTTTCTTTTTTTTTTTTTTAATTTCTTGTAATTTATATTGTGAGCCCGCTTGAATCTAGAAGAACGTCAATTCATAGATAGCCTTCGTTTGTGACTAGTATTTTAGGAGCTCATATTGTGAAAATATTCGATATTTCACACTTGGAAACCTTTTGCTCAGTTTTTCATTGATGCCTTTAACTTCGTGTTGATTTGTCTAAAAGAGAGATACCTTCATATATATATATATATATACCTTCATATACATATATATATATACCTCCTTTAATGGGGTAATTTTAGCTTTTCAACATGTGTTGAATTTGATTCCAACTTATTTCTCCTACATTTTCTCGCTGCTTATCTAAAAATACACCACGGGACATTTTTAAGGAGAAATTATTAACTTTTTATTTGGCATAAATAGCCAAAATATCCCTCTACTGTTACTACTACTACTACTACTACTCGATTTATGGAAACACATAGATAATGATCACATCCACGATATAGTGAATTATATAGATTAAAAGACATAAGAAGAATTATGCAAAAATGAAAAAAAAAAAAAAAATTTAATAATAAACAAAAAAATCTATTTATAGATGCACAAAACATGTGAAGATATCTCTTTGAATTTTATTTTTTCCTCATACCTTACCGTACACCATTTGTGATATGAGAATATATTAAATTTATGCAAATGTATACAACACCCAGAAAGACTTGAGGTAAACTCAACTCTTATTATACCGATCGATTAAGAATCAGTTTCTGAGTCGATGTTGGCTTGTCTGTCCGTCTGTCTGCTTTGTTTTCTTGTGTTCAACGTACAGTTCACAATTTTTAAGATGTTTTCATAAAATTTGGTACAGTGGCGTCTTTCGATCCAAGGATAAATCCTATTGAATGTGGTTCGGATCCGTCCATTTTTTCGGCCACTACCCACATAATGACTTTTCAGAATAGTGTAGTATATGGCAAAAAATTGCCAAATGATAGTATCACGGCATTCTAAATTCGTATAAAAAGTTTGGAACGGCTAGCTCAATGTTCAAACCTTTCTTATTAACCAAGAACTGATGTTCATACGACGAAACGGCATAATTTTCCATGCTTCCTGACGAAAATCAAATCATAATGGCAATTAACTGTACCAAAATTTGGACAATCTCGCCAAGTTTTTAGATCCTAACCTAATAAAGATTTTCACGAAAATTGACCCTTTGTAGAGCAGAAAAATCTAAGTTTTAATATGTCGCGATGAAAATTGACTTATAATAGCAGTTTCATACAAAAATGAACTGGTTGGAAATGGTACCAAATTTGGACCATCTACGCCTATTTTTGGATACTACCCTATGTAAGGATTAAATTTATACTCGTTTTGGGCCCGCTTCTCCATTAACACAATATATCAAAATATCTCGAAAGTTGCGACTTGCAGGTTGAACAAAAGATAACAAGACAGATAGACGAACAGACGAGTTAAAAATCATTGTCGGAATCAATCGCTATAATAAAAGGTTCCTCTATCTCAAATTTTTCTGGATGTGGCATATATTCGCGCATACTTAATATATACTTATATCACAAGTTGTGTAGAGTAAAAAAGCAACCAAGAAAATTATATTCGGCATTCGCCGAATCTTCTATACTCATCACTTTTATTTGAAATCAAGACTCTAAAAAAAAAAAACCCCGAGACTCTATAATATTGGATGGGCATAAACAATTCTTTCATTTTTATTTAGATGCAATGGGGTCGCCCATTAAAACTCAAAACTCATTTCTTTTACTTTCGAAAACGGATTTGTTCCCGGTTTATATTCTTCTACTGTGGACGTTTTCTTTAAGTGCCTTCGCTTGTTCGCATTCAATACCGGCGAGCAAGAATTTGAAACGTTTCTGCTAGGAGTGCTTTTTCACAGACGGTCAGATGGGCAGACGGACAAACAAGCTTAAATCGATTGAGAATTTAATACTGACCAAACGTATATCCCTCACTTGACCTTTTAAGTTTTCTTCTGAGCTTTGAAAACATTTTTTTAAACTGAAAAGTGAGAAAAGAGAGAAGACAGAGGGAGAGAGCAAGTTAATGAAGATATTAACTTTCTTCTTGAACGCGATTGGTCTTCTGAGATTGCTCAGAATGCGATCCTTAGTTCTTTAGTCCGACTGCCATTTTTTATCAAATGGCTGAATGTAATAGATATGCAAGCAAGATTCGCCGTACATGTGTGTGAGCATAACTTTTTCATAATAACAGATTCTGGTAATGCTACTTGCTGATGATTGACGAAGTTGGAAAAGTCGGATCAGCATAGCATTGTAATTGGCGATATGTTCGTCACATTAATACAGGCCTTTTCAAAGCCCTACACGTCGACATAATGCTTTCATATCCGCACGAGTAGTCGAGTAGGTAAGAACCGCGACTACAATGTCAATGTTCGTGGGTTCAAATATCAGGCGCGGCACGCAGTATAATTTGATCATAACTATAATATATATTCACTCATTGGACACAATCATACTAGGCTACGGCCATCTTCTTATCTCCTTCTCTTCTCTCACTTCTCTTTCTAATCGTCACCATGTTACACGAATATGGGACACTTCCTGATTGATTAGAATAAATGGTGCGTTAAATCCGAGCCGAGTGATTCTGAGTGATTTCTGATTGGAAATGCTTTTAAAATCTCATTTACCAGTGCCCATCAGATTTATGCTGAGCAAAACCTTTCGAAATCGTTATATTTTAAAGATAATTTATTCGATTTTTACGGATTTTTGCAGATCTTTGACAAATTCACACACAATTTCAATATGACATCTTTGGTCACCACGACTTCCGATTGTCAAACATGTTGGCCATTGTCTATACCCTCATTACGACTCGTCGATCCTGCTACGCGATTAGCATTCATTACAATGAACTTTTTTCATCAATTGAAGCGTTTTGTTAAAACTTTACAAACTTTAAACCGATAGATCTTTTTTCGATATTTAATTTTGGGGCGATGTGTGGGTGTGCAACAAGCACACTATCACTTACAACGAAATAAGTAGCTTTCCACAGAAGCGATTGCCAGACACATTTCCAGGAACGTGCCATCATACGCTTCACGGCAAAGGGACGTATTTGCCGCATTTGCTCGGGTTAATCCTCATTGTGACGCTTTGATATCCATACTCTCCGCTATAGGAATGAATTTTCTTTAATGTTCACACGCCTTTATCTCTGTCGCTCTTCGTGAAAGCAAGCCACTTGTGTGCACATGGCAATGACATTATCTGACGCTCACTTATGTCTTAGAAGAACTTTATATAATTGAATTAGTATGGTTTCCCTGGATTACATTACATTCCGCTTGTCCTTGACTATAAAATTGCCCAATAAAATGTCAGCGGATCGATTATTGTGCCTTTCATTATCACTTTCGACATTTTAAACATTGTTCAAACTTTTTGACTCTTCCGTCATTTGTCGTTCTTCTTTCTTCGAGTTGTTGTTGTTTCGGCCATTACCTCTGCTGAATAACCGATATTTGTTACGCTGACGCCTTCCGATTGAAGTCACTTGTGAAAGAAAATCTTAAATATCTTAATTTACGAATGAATATATGAAATAGCAATAAAAATGGGGGGAAAACAGAAAAGAAGACAGCAGAAGCGAGAGTTTACTGTTGCCATTGTTGCGCCTGAAAAGGATCTTAAGGTTTTTAACGAGACATTTTTGTTATAAAAAATCAGTCAACTTAGATGAGTATTAGTGATAAACAGTAACACCACATAATGCTATGATTTCTTGTCGATTTCAAAGTTCTCGCCACATTATTTATCAGACTCCTGATGTTATGCAATATAAAAATCAGACGAGAATATTTCAACCAATGTTAAGTTTTTGTTTTGCCGACGGCTTTTGTTAAGTTGGTGCGTTATTTTACAGAGTTGAACCCTTCTCGTCTGTTAAGTTGCGCGTTTAACTTAGCTGATTAGCGTTAACATTTAAGTTGTTAAGTTGGGCTTTTAACCATTTATTTATTATAAGCGACTCTGTGCGTTGCCTTTCAACAGGGAATTTAGCGAGGACTTTGTTTAATTTGATAATAAAAATTACAATGCCAATGCTATCAAACTGTGCGATAAGAAATTCCACAAATCACGGGTCGATCACTTTATGTTATATTTAAAATGTTATGTTATAAAAAATTTTTGGCGCAAATACAAATAAAGTTTAAGTAACCTTTTCCTCGCAGTCGAGATTATTTCTAAAGCTGCAAAGTTGTTACTATGTTAACAAAAGCTTTGGTCAGCTTTATTCAAAAAATAATTGTACAGAACTAAAATTTTATCCACTAATTTATGGGAAAGAAAGTAACTTTCATTTCTATTCAAAGACAAAAACATGCTCTTTACAATAAACTTAGCAAAGACATTGTAATTATGACAAATAACAAAGACTTTCTTTTCTTGGTTTTGTAACATAACATATTTGCATTCATAACCAAGCATTCGGCCGATAACGATATAAATAATAATAGAAGCTATAATCAAATTTTCACTTATAAAGCATTAATATTAGTGTATCCTTAGAGGAGCTATCATTGATTTTCACGCAGCAGTAAACAACAAAATGAGAAACGTATGCTTCGCCTTTAGCTAAGACGCCAACTATGGTAAATATTTAAAAAATTGTCAAGCTTCCTTTATAGTAAGTATTAGTAGATTTTATCTCTACAAAATTGCGTGAAATATATATATTTTTTTTACAATTGTTTTAGTTTATTTACAAAAATATTTTCTTCTATCTTTTCCACAATTATAGAAGTATTTTTATAATTATCACTTTATAACAAGGATTCGTGAAAGCGCAACATTTATATATTTATAATTCGTTATCTGTAATTGTGACCGGCTAGAATACCCACACGTTGATTGATTGAATACTTTCAATGACGAGAGACAAATTCATAATCATCATCATTTTTGACATAACTAGCTTGTCCCATAAGCAAATAACTTTACAATATATATTTTAGTATTTAGACAAGAATATTTATTTATTTTTTTTTGAATGTTCATAAAATAGATTTTCCTATAAATCATTGTTGGTCGCTTATCCTCCATATATAATAATCTTAAGGGGATATCCTATAAAAAACCATATTATTTAAGGAAAACCTAGCGGCCTTTTTCAGCAACACAACGACACATACAGAACATGTAGTGAAGACCGTTATTTCAAGTATATATACTTACATAGGCGTGAACATGTATATATATAAGCAGTTTACATAAAAGTTTCTTGTGATAAAATGTTCTCTTGAATTAACATTAAAAGGATTTTTAACAATAACTATTTTAAGAGATAAAGAGAAGTATATATATATATATATATATATATTTTTAATATATATTTGCAAAGGGATGCTGTGAGTTAAATGTTTTGGAAAATGTTTTGATGTTAATAGAGCATCAGATTTTCAGATAAGGTAGTAGCAAAAGGTCATTTTTGACGGTGAACAGTACTAGACACTTTTACGTTTTATTTACTTAATCTTCCATTTAAGGCAATCACTTGAAAGTTATTTATTAATTAAAGTATGCTGTGCCCCAAAAAATACACACCTGTTAAAATAAAGCAAAAAAGAAAAAAAAACAAAACCAAAAGTGGTTTTTAATGGTAGTAAATAGAGTTCTTGTTTTTTCCTTTCCTTTTTTTTTTTTTTCTTCTTTTTTGTTTGTTTAATAATTGGATATATATATACATATATATGTGAAGACAAATGTAAGCGCACAATAAAATCTTTTAGAATGTATATAAATGTGTTCTCCCAAGTGTGTTTAAAGCAGAAAAATGCCAACAAAGGTGTAAATTGTCTTTCTTTTTTTTTTTTTATGTGTATCTCTCTCCATGCATATATATGAATTGAATATAAAACAATAAAAAGAAAAAAAAAAAACAATAAATATATTTAAATAATTTAAAAATGAGTCAAAACAATCTGTTACACTGACTTAACACAGGTATAGTAGAAAGAAAGTATCTTGAATTTTATATATAGATAAATATATGTGTACATATAATTTTGTGTATGTCTGTGATTGAAAAAGTGTAAATATTCATTTCATTATATTGGGTAATTAAACATTACTGACATAACATTACCTTCAATTGCGTTACTTTAGAAAAGCAGTTAAATTTTTAAAGGAAACGCAACAGTTATATAAGTACGGGTTCCTTCGTGATTGAAAGAACAGTTGCAAGATATCATAAATAAAAGCGAAAGCAGTTTCCAAAAATGAAGCAATCGAGCGAAAAATCTGTCCATCTAAATAATGTTATATGTAAGTAAATCGTTTTATTAGCGAGTAATGTTAAAAGATTATCATAATTTTATTGTGGCCTTAATTTTCTCTATTTTCTATTTCATGAAAATGCCTTGAGTATCATTAAAACGTCAAAGTTGACTGCGATAATCATTCAGGATGTATTGCTCGTGTCTCCCATCTCTGTTGTAAAGCTCTGTTGTTAAACCTCTCAATTACTATTACGTTTTATTATGTTCACATACATCCAAGCACTTACACTTTCACTTGTTTCGATACGTTTAAGTATATATATATATATATATGTATATCTTCTCTACCTTAACTGCACAAACATATATACACAAATTTATGTATTCACTTATATGCAAACAATCACTAGGAACATTGCATGTTTTTTTTTGCTTTTATACTACATATCTACTTTTCGTAGCATTCCCCAGCCTATAAAATCCTACAGGCCTTATAAAACTTTCAAAAACATCTACATATATATATATGTAGATATGCGTATATAAGAACTGTTGCTGCTCTTTATTGACAGTATTAATGTGGTGAACAAAAAAACAACAGGTGGATTGTGTAGGCAGTTGTGAGGGCATATAAAACGTATATATCTTACATATATAATAGTAACAGTTTGTTCGATGATAACACATACAAATATATATGAATGTTAACATAGGCATATGGGAGTGTATAATAAATCCATATGCAAATATATATATACATATATGTATATACAATATATACATTCATAATCATATACATATGCATATAAGTATACATCCATTTAATACATACATATTTAATGAATTTTTCATGATTTCATGATTTTCTTTCTTTCCCTTTTTACACCCATCACCGAAGGATTCATTTTGTGAAAACGTTTGCGACGCCCAGAAGGAAGCATCAGAGACCCCTACAATCTATATATATTCTTCATCAATAAAAATTTCTAAATCGACTTAAGCATGCCGGTCTGTCCGCCTGTGTAATGTCTGTTGTAAACATTCTACTGCCCCGTAAATATGAAGCTACCGATTTAAAACTTGGCAGGAAGATAGAAACTTCTTCTTCTTCACCCAATTTAGTGTTGAAAATGAGGCAGATCGGTTGAAAGACACGCCTGCAGCACTACATGGATTGAAAACACGTTTGTTTTTGAGAAGGAATAAAAAATTTTTCTTTTTACACATTTCTCTTAGACTATAGCAAATAATTGTGCAAAAATTTGAACGCATATTCTATGGGCGATCCTGTAAAGCCACACCACACCTGCCCAATATTATCGAATATGAAAATAAAATTTTTTTTACCATACCTTTACAAGACGCAGAATACAAGCGTGAAAAACCTCATGAAGTATATGAATTTTTGTGGAATGTACCCAAAACGTGTCCGTCTGTCCATCTGTCCGCGTAACTGCAAAGTATTTGTGGTATACATTCGCACGGTAGCGAGAATGAAGATATCACCTACAAACTTTTAGTTATTCGAACTTTTCCAAGCACACGCCTGTAACGCCCGCATGCCTATGTAATAGAAACCTTTCTTTTGAGAATAGAAAAAATCAATTGCGCCCACTCTGTATTATAAATGTACTTTACTTGTCTTTTTTAGTATAACCGTGATGGGTATAAAAGATTCGGTCACGACCGAATATAATTTTTTTACATGTATTATTTTTTTTGGTTTTTTTCAATTTTTAATTCACTACCACAAAGAATTCATTATAGTACGTTTTATTATACGGATTAGCCAAAGAATCTCGGTTAGAGACACAAATGCCACAATAGTTTACCTATATATTCTCAATTCGAGAATCTGAATCAATAAATATTGAATACTTTGCTCTTTCATATTTCCGCACACATCAGAATCAGTGCCGCAGTAGTAAGCAGAATATTACTCAATTGAAGATAGATAGATAGATAAATGTGCTCAATATGATTGAAAGGCTAAATAAAATTTCAACAAATAGAAATAAGGAGACATGGATAGAAGACATCCCGTTAGCCGATTAGCACTTCAGCGATGTAGATAACCGTACATTATATTAGATGAAGCGACGGTAAGAGTCTTATTAAAATTGAAAGCCAAGTGACAGTTAACTGATTTGACTGAATCGAACTTGCGTGAATCCTATCCTTTGGATTATGTAAAGAATTTGATTACCAGCATTATTATCCAGCAAACAAACGAAACTTAGGTTCTTATTGGATAATGCAATAAGACTTCTATCAAAGAATATCTGCTGCACCTGCTTGTGGATGTCCCATCAAACAGTCTGTTGATCATTTTTTTTACATCTTATCCCCATTATCATCATGAATTAAAAGAAGAGATAATTTTGGTTTTTTTTTTTTTTCATGGACAATCAAGGATTTGTAATATTATATTCAAACGAAGGGTATTCCGTTAAACGTAAGACTCATTAAGGCCGACAGAAAGAAATCAACTGAACGTGTTAAAGTAAATTGTGCGTAAGTTTTAAGTTTATTAGCCTTTGCAGTTAACTTCTGAGCGGTTTTAAGCATAGGGAATCAGGCGATGGTGCCAAATTGTTAATCACTTTCTCTGCCTGGCTGTCTGTCTGCTCATTGCGTTATGCCTGCAATAGTCTTATATATGTTCTTTTCCAAATATTCCAAAGTTTGTAATTTGTCGCGCGTAAACCTAGACTTTGATGTACTCACTCTCAAAGAAAACAAATTTATCGATGTCAAATTCTCGATAGAGGAGCGGTGATGGTGACCTAAATCCATAATACACAAAAGAACAAGGAGCACATACAACTTTTTTGATGATTACTAAGCGTTCAAGAATCGTAAGACGCTGCATGATAAAACAATAAATTCCCGTCCTGAATATATATATACACACGCGGAAGGCAACACAAAAGAAAAATATATTTGAAAGTGGAAATTATCACATTGCCACAACGAAGAAAGTTATATTCGTTAGTGACCGATTCTTTTACACCCGCCACCATTATCCTAAAATAGGCAAATAAAATAAAAGAATTAAATTTTCATGCTCTGTAATATGGACTGAGCCCGGCTGAGTTTTTTTTGTATTTTCAAAATGAAAAGTTGTGGGCGTTGTAGGCTTGCCTTGGAAAAATTTAAGTCACTTTCAAGTTCTTTTGCGAATTTGTAGACGAGACTTCATTCTCACTAACGAGAGAATGTTTGAGCAGACAGGACGGACATGTTTAGGTGCATTTCAAGTTTACAACAGTCCTAGAATTTATACGCTTTATACTGGTTTTGATGTTTATTTTTGCACCTTACAAAGGTATTGAAAAAAAATTCAAATTTTATACATTATAATATTAGGTAGGCGTGATCAATTTTTTCCATTTTTGTACATGAATGCTACAGCATCGCCCATAGAATATGCGAGCAAATTTTTGTACATTTATTTTGTATAGCTTATGAGTAATGAGTAAAAAAACAATTTTTCATTCCTTTTGGAGGTGTTCTCAGTCAGTGCTTCAACCGATTTAGCTCATTTTCAACACCAGCCTGCATGAAAGAACTTCCAACGTTTCTGCCGGATTTGAAGTCGACACCTTCATTTTTCGGCCAAAAGAATGTATACAACAGACCAACAGCCAAAGAGACGATGATGCTTAAATCGATTTGAAATTTGTAAGTGTCTCTGAAGCTTCCCCCTGGGCGTTGCAAACGCCATCCATCGATACCCGTCATTCTTCGGGGATGGGTATAAAAAGAATCACTCTTAATGAAAGAACCCTTTAGATGCAATAAAAAGCTTAACGTTTCTTAGCATTAGCTTACAAAATGATATGTTTGTCTCTAAGCAAATTATATAGATTGTCGGGAAGGTGGCAGTGCCTGCCTATCCACATTAATACGAATACGCACTGATCACGATTTCAATGATTTTGGACGTGCAGTTTTTATTTGATAGTCACCTGAGGGAAAAATGGTGGAACGCGCTCTTAGGAAGTGTTTATTATCGAAAGCCGATGCGACTAAATTAGAAATGAATTTGACGCTATGTACAGGGACTTTGCACGATGGTTCATCACAATGAAAGCTTGGGTAACTAAATTGAAACGTAACCTCATCAGTTTGATGTGAATATAAACGTTTGCCCAAAGACTATAAACATTGATGAAACTTTTGCTTATGCTAATCAAATATAGCTGAACAATATCGAATTAATCGGTTAAACTGGTAGAAAACGTTATGAACACACCCTGCTAGATATCCATTGAAGATTTTGGCATCAGTAAGTTGACCGGCCGTTGGTTACCGCTTTTCCTCCGAGTCACAACTCGATGATTACAATGGAGAAATTATGCGAAAGCAAGCTTGCATTGGTTATCCAATCAGTCAGCTTATTCGCCGGATTTAACTCCCAGCGATTATTATCTGTTGACAAATCTCAAAGCGATTCTCGCCTATAGCTAAGGATTTGAAGCATACGATTACAGACTTTGAGCTGAGAATATTGATATGGTTCTTGCATTCTTTATACTTATGTAAAACAGTCTCTGGCCAAAGACAAAACAAACATGTCGATCAGCAAATCTTAGATTTGGCAGATCGATGCTATTTCCAACAAAATGACTTACTTGCCTTTACAAAGTGCGAATCAACAAATGGCTCGTATTAAAATTTTATCTCACATTCAAGACAAAGCGATGTTAAGCAATAGTCCGCAAAGGTAGACGGGTGGGTAACACTAACAAGTCAAGTCAAGATTTGCGGGTTGAAATCTCAGTGCGACAGAATGTTCCGTCGGTAACGACATAACACTTACCGTTTGGCCACTCAATAGACCCACCGGCCCGCGGCCACCACTCTATAACATTTCCTTCCCTCATTTTATCCTCTTGTTTGTGGCTGGCATCATGTTACATGGACGGCGCATCCCGGTCATGCAAAAAAAAAAAAAAAATTGAATTATCGACGGTTTGTTGATTTTAAAGAAGACCATGGGATAAAATATCCTTACAGATATCAAAAGGTAGTGTGTTCACAGATGCGAGGGTCGTTTTCCAAATGGAATGAATGTCATCAGTACGTTGCTAAGGCGGAGTGCTGTTGCGAGCTATTGAACAGCAGCAAAAAACAATGACATGTGACATTATTTCACTCTTGGAGAAGCTTTGAAAACAAAGTCAATGAATAGAGAAAAAGCTCTTTTTACTTTATATCGAGACTTATTGACTGACATATTTAAGGTTACCGATCAAATATGATACTCACTCTTACTTAGAGTAAGGGAATAATTGATTGGGAATAACGGATATCCAAGACGACATCCTAGCGAATATAACTTAAATGTCAATCAAATTTTATTTTGTAAAATTTTTGATTGGCTTTGACTTGTCTTGTCCGTAATCATATTTGAATTTTTGTTTGCAATTTAACTCAACTTAAGGACGCGTCATCTGGTTAATCGCGCCTTAATTAGTAACGAAAATCTCTCTTTGTGGAATTAATTGCGAAAATAAAAAACTATTTAAGCCAATCTTTGCTTGTTTTTTTGCTTCTTCCTTTAATATTTAATATCGCTCAAGAGATAACAAGTAAAAGTAAAAGTTTACCTTAAAGCAAATGTTACAGTGAGGTTTCTATCAAACATCACAGATCCTTTACTCAAAGTAAAAGTTAATCAACGTTGATAAAAGCAGTGGCGATTAAAAGAAAAAAATGTGAAGGAAAAGTTTTCAACATTATTTTCGAGTCTTCAATTCCCTAAAGTAAATTTTATCTCAACGAAAAATTCTTATTTCCTTTTATGTGGAATCTCTGCTATTAATGTTATGCAAAGATGTGCACTGAAGCGCTATTGATATCAACTTATTTTAAACCATTACACTTAAGTATGATTTTTTATACCCATCGTCGAAGGATGCGAGTATGGTATATTCATTTTGTCAAAATGTTTGCAGCGCCCAGAAGAAAAGATTCAGAAACATCATAAAGTATATATATATATATACTTGATCAGTATCAAATTCTGAATCGATTTAAGGAATACCATCTGTCGGTCTGTTCCTCTTTGTAAAGTCTGTCGACTATCGACATTATAGTTGACAGCAACATTGCTTGTTGTTATTGAAAATCAGGCAAATTTGTGGAACGACTCGCCTACAGTACCAAGTAAACCGTGAATGCTTGTGTTCTTCCATAAAAAATAAAAAAAAAAGAAAGTGTTTCTTTAGCCATTAGCTATAAACGACACCAGATGAATCTATAGAAAATTTGAACAAATTTGCACCCGCCTATTCAACCCTATAGTTTACCCATACATAACTTTTCTTTGCAATACCTTGACGGGGCGCAAAAACAAGTTTGGAAAAACTCTATTAAAGTATATAAATTCCTGACCAGTTACAAATTCGAAATTCACCTAAGCATGCATTTTGCAAAAAAATTTGAAAGTTACGGAAACAGATCAAGGTATACGCCTACAATGCCCACGCGTCTTTGCTTCAAGTGTCTTTCGCTCTTTGCTCATAACATTGCAACAACAGATGGAGGATATAAATTTCCACGAAACTGTTCTATAAGAATATCAAATATCAGCCACGCCCATTATGAAGTATGCAAATTTATATATTCCCATTATCTCAATTTTCTATAGGGCAACGATGATGGGTAAAAAGGATTCAATCGCAACCGCATAATATAAGTTTTTTACTCGCAATATTATACCTGTAGCTGTCTACATTGGTTTACTTTCTTTTCCTTTTGCGAACTTAGGTGCGCGAGAGCGAAAATATTTGAAAAATTAAAAGCAACAAAAGACGATATCTTTGAAGTGAAAATGAAATCGCATTGTAATTTCACTTAGGGGCATTTTAATCGTTTTTATTAAATCTCTGCCGCAGTAGATATTTAAGACGAAATTCAATTTCGATAATATTTTCATGAATTAATTTTTACGTAACGACACATATGGAACACTATGTGCATTTTTAGCCCAACAATGAAAAATGGCAAATAATTTTTCATTAAAAATTGTTTTATTGTCGTCCATCCATAATCTATACACTTTTGTTATAGTATTTTTCCCATCCTGCTTACGAGGCCTTCAGAACATATTTTTTGAACTCATCAACAACTGCGACTTCTGGCAACGCAATTTATACATGACTTTCGCCATGCACTTAAATTGATAGATTGTGCTCGTCGCCCAATACGTAGTTTAGAGAAATCATTCCGATTATACTAATACTGGTAGGATAGGTTATTTCGCAATTGCTTAGACCCAGACTATTAACAAGATGGCAAAGTCATTGAAAATTTAAACAAGTTAGAAAATAAGATGCGGTCGTGATCGAATCTCTTATGCCGATCACTGTTATTCTAAAATGGACAGAAAAAGTAAAAGGATCCAATTTTGAAAACGGAGATACACCTTTCAATCGATCCAAAAATTTTTGCCAAATTTGAAGTCGATATGTTAACTTTTGGGATCAGAAGAATTGTTCGCACATAAATCTACAAAGATTGACAGACGGCATGGAAAGGCATACATACTTGAAAAGTCGGTGTTTGCTAGTGATCAAGAACACATATACTTTGTAGGATTTTTGAAGCCTTCTTCTTGGTGAACATCTCCCACTTCCTCTTCGGTGGTGGGTATAAAAACGAATGAAACGCATCCTTTTATCTCACGATATGAACGCGAGAACTAATTGTGAAACTATCAACAATATCCGCACGCGATACATACAGTTTTTCAAAGAATTTTAAACGGCTAGAAAAGCGCTTCGTAGATCTCTATATACGTATGTAATCCTAATTAGGGCTTGTAAGCAAATCTATTTAACAATATTCAAATTCTCTCTTTTCGACTTCGGTCAGACGAACTGCTCGATAAGTTTCTATTGTAATCATAATTCTCAGAATTGCTTAGGCAATCGACGATCGTTCTACACGCTATTGTATTCGTCGCATCATACGAAAGATTGGTTAATGAGAAGTTAATGATTGTCACGTCTACAGATGGTAAGCGCAGACTTTACACACTCTCGCTCTCTCAGCAGGCATTATGGCATAAATTATGATGTCCGTCTATCCGTGCAGTCGCGAGTTCGAATCTATTGAAAATATGTTAACACTTTTAAATTCAAGTCGTCTCTTCCTTATCCTTGCTATTCGTGGCCCTTATCAGGACAGTTTGATGATTTCTCTATTGTGTTTTACTTTTTTTTGTTTTCATCTTGTGTATGCAATTAATATGTTCGTGATTGACTCACTGATGTGAGCACATTATATTAACCAAGTTTCTTTTTCGACCTTAACTTTTTCAACACCACGTACTGCTTCATGTATATCCCAAGTAGGCCATCATCCGCATATTGCTTAAGCAAATTTGTGTACTGATCTGCGTATAAAAAAGCAGTTTGATATGTAAGTGTTTTTTTTTTTTTTGTTATTTTTAGAAAGCAAGCAGCCGTCGTTACGAAACATAAAAACATAAGAGCAACGATAACCGCAGCAACATTGAGAGCAAACTACAAAAAGAAAAATCGATGAAATGCCTTCAAGACGAATGGGTGGTGGGGGCAGTGGTGGGACCACACGTCGCAAACATTCGTTAGGAAATTTACGGCGAGCTCATCCAGCCTCAGGAGCTACATGGAACGTGCAAGTTGTACGCGGCAAAATGTCATCAAAATGTCTATGGCATGCTTGTCGTGCATTGGTTTTAGGTTTAACGCTATTGCTGTTGGGCGCCGGCATGGCCACTATAGGTAGAAAGCAAAGTTAATTGCATAGAGTTTAAACAAAAAAAAAAAAAACAAAAAACGAAGGGGAGAAACCATGTTCTTATTCGATTATCTTCTTTCTCCTTCTTCTATGGCATAGGTTATTATGCTGACTATCTATCAATGGGCTCAGAGCTACGTGGTAATGCTACGGTGCGTGTGAAAAACGACCTTAAAGGTTTTCACTTAAATAATTTTTCATACGTCGGCCCGATTGTAATGGGTTTTGGTGGTTTTATTGTTGTTGCATCTTGTGTTATGACTTTTGAAGCGAGAGATTCAGCAGCTAAAGTAGTGCCAGCTCGTTTAAGGGCCGTCGGTAACAGTAAAACTACTGTGCGCAGTAATCAAAGCAGTGCCGCCTCACAGCGAAGAGCAGCAGGTTAAGTTTTAATAAGTACATACATATATATAAGCTGCACAAAAACGTGGATTTTAAATAATTATAGGAATACAGTTGCAAGCTAGTCGCTGGGATCAACATTTCGGAGTGTTTCGTTCGTCGCCCGCGACGGAAATTCCACAACCAACGCCAGCACCCCTCGATCGCGAAGCCTTAACTGCAGAACTTATCAAATTTTCCAAATCCCTAAGGTATTTAGTTTAATAAAATAATACTCAATGCTTTCAACTCCTTAAAAACTTGTAAATAACATAACTTTCCACGACATCTGTAAATTCATCTCTCTCTTTAACATATGTATGTATATCTATCTAAACATCGCGTTTCATGCTTGTTCTCTCCTTCTCCTCAAATTTCCTGCTGTAGTGCATCTGCTCGCTTTTCACCGCAACTGCGACGGCTTACCTTAACTGGCTCTGTGCCAAATCTCTCCACTCATGCCAATCATCCTCTCGCCTATTCCACTAATATATCACATTTGCTTTCGCCGAAACACAAATCCCTGCTATTGATGGAACACAAACGTTTTCGCCACTCGCACCATCGTCACCATCATCATCATCATCAACATCACAACCACCATTACAACAATAACCATCAAAATCGTCCTAAATCAAATAATAACAACAACAACAACAATAGTGGTCGTCAGATCAAAAATCGTGGTACACGTATTAGTAATAGTTTAATTCAAAGAACAACACGCGAGAGTACTGGTTCGGTGGCCTGTACTTTATTACAACCGCCTAGTAATAAACTTTACTGGCATGCAGCTTCATTTGATGAGAGTGCACGATCGGATAAACAACTCGCGCGAATGGTAGAGCGTACAAAACGTTCCGATACAGCAAAAAGGCACGTGCTGTCACGTCAGAAGCCAATTGAACAAGAAGAAGATAAAAGCTCTGTTAGTCCACTAACTAATCGCAGGTAAAAGCACGAGATTTAATGATTTGTAATCAGGGACATTCGAGTAAACACAGTTCTCCTATAGAAACTCTATCATGTCGGATTCATCGTATAGCGGCCGCTGGACGGCACGTTGTACTTCAATAGCCAGCCGAGCATCAAGCATTGATTCGCGACGCATTCAAGTCGACCTACATAGCCCTGAAGTAATGCCGAAGTCCATATTACGTTCACCGAAACGGTACAGTTCAGGACCTTCAAATAATTCGTCAGTGGAGAGAGAATTCAGGTATGATTTAGTATTATAGAGATATGTCATCATTGCTTTTCTCATGTAAATGCAAATAAATTTTATTTACTTTACAGAAGTCAGTTATCGGTTTGTTCTGAACCACCGGCAACCATACGTCAACTTTCGGGTCAGTCCAGTCTCGAGCCTTGTCTACCGGAAGAAGCAATAGAAACGATCGATGAAAAAACCCAAGTCAATCTTAGCGACTCATCTAAATCTCCCGTATCTCCGTCAACGCCAGAAAACACCGAGCCATCGCCTATTAAACCGGATAGTAAACACTGCAATCGTTTCGCTGCGATTAAAAAGCCCCGACCCGATTCATTACCGCTAACGGGTTCAGCTACGATTTTGAATTGCACAAAATCTAAACATGAATTCAGCGATAAAGTGTTGCAACGGAGCAACTCAACGCGGACGTTCTATCGACCTAAACCGCAAATATCGCCCAGACATAATGATTCCATATTTTATATACGTTCACTGGAACAGCGTGACACTTATGATTGGTATGATTCCGAGCAAGTAATTAACGAACGTCGCTGCACATTACTTAAAGCAGATAGCGAAACCGCATTAACAGAAAGAAAGCAAAGTAGTTTTTCAATACCTGAACGTATCAATGAGAACTCACACCATACGTCCGTTGATATTGAAGATGTGACACCGACAACAACAACAACAACAATAGTAACGAATAACGAGACAGTCTTGCAAATTGATATAGACGTTCGCAACTCAACGGTCGAGGTGAGTAAAAACACTTAGATGCGCAGTAACCAAATAATTACTTTACAATTTAGTGTTGCGTTATATAAAAGGCAACAAAAGAGATTAAAAAATTTAGGCAAAATCAATATATCTTTAGTTTCTCAATTTTAGTTGACGTTTTAAACGGAATTGCAGGAAAGAGTATTGAATTCGATTTTAATTGAGAAAAGTATTTAGTTTTAAATTTATTGTTGATGTTATAGTGAAATCAATATGCAACTAATACATGCATTAGATAATTTTTTTGTGTTTGCACAGTGAATTTCCCATATTCACCGAGAAAACTTTTTTAAATGCCAACAACAAGTTTAAGGATAATTATTATTAAAACCACAACAACACACCTATATGAAAATAAAACGAACACCCACTGTGCGTAATTCTTATGATATCGAAAAATCTATATCTACTCACATTATCAATTAACAATAATCTAATAAAGTTTCTAAGTTCAGCTCAAATGCACTTTAGTTGTTTATGAAAACGCAAAAAAAAAAAATACACTTTGGGCGAATTTTGTACACCCACCATATCCTACTAAGGAACGTTTATTACTTCGACTTGCTTTACATTCCATTATACGTGGCAATCTGTATGCAATACAAAGGCATTTATTGCCTGCCTATGGATATATCATATACCTATCAAGTGCATAGCGCACTATCATATTACCATTTTTAGGTTAATATTGTTTCTCTCATAACTTTGTATCTACTTCATTCAATTCATCCAATTTTTCGAATGATTTTCGACATAATATCACTCATTCACGTGTTTACCTGTTATGCTATTGTCCGGGTTTTATTCCGGAAAATTCCTTTGAGTTGTCTAAAAATAATAAGAAATAATTTCTCTGTCGACAACATTACTTAAAAATAAAAACCGGCGTTTCGATACCCTACAATAGTAAGTGGGCGCGGCTGATTTATTTATTTTTTTTTTCATTCTAATAGAAAACACAAGATTATCAAAAAGTAGCAATCAATGTTCGTTAGATTATTACATAGTAGGCGTGTTGATTGACTAATTTGGCCAATTTGTGACAAGAACTTCCAATGTTTTTGACAAATCTGCATTTTTGCGACAAGAGGAATATTTACTACACAAATTACCCGGGCGGACTATACTTTGTACGGTCCTAGAAATTTGCTTCCTTTCGTATGGCAACAACTAATATTATATGATAAATGCACCACCCATCTTTAGTAGCACCTACAACAATTTTAATTCATAGATTCTCGACATTGAATACTGAAATCTTGCAACCGGGCAGCAAAAACCTTGAAACTGAACAAAATACAACAGGGACGGTTGTCAATTTTCACTCAATAAACCAGAAAGAGAGAACTCAACCTATCCATGTCAACCAAGCCTTGAATCTTTGATTATCTGGAAGGAATAAACATTTCTCGCTATAAACTTGACAACTTCATATGGATAAAGCAATTTTTTGAAACCTATAGATTTGACAAAGAGGCACATTTTTGCCATTTGGAAAACTCATAATATGAATAGAAGAGAATATATTTCTTCCAACTAAAGCTAACCCTTTAAATAATAATTAAAGACAACTTGCAACGAACTCTTTTGTAATTGCAAAATACTTTCAACATTTAAATATGCTCTTGAAAATGTAAATCTATTACGAAAAGAACTGACTTTTAATCGACTAACATTGAAGGATAATGAAGGTCGTTACTATGGTTTATGTTGTTTAAGCGTTTTTTTTTTCTTGTGTTTTCTCTTGATAAATACGCAATCGTTTTCAATCTTCTCAGCTAAATTAAAAAGAATCTTGAGTTTGTTTCAATAGTATTCCTTCAAGCGTCATCATGTTGATTTACACGTTGAAACACTTAAACAGCAGTTATGGATGTGCGGCAGTTTGCTATTTAGCCGTATAATCGCCAAAGACTTTACAACTTCCTTTAGAGCGAAATTGTATCTCATCCAATTTACTATATGTTCTTTTTGTTATATTAAGCGTTCAAATAAAAAAAAAAAAGGAAAAGAATACAAAGGATAGCAACTAAAAAACTAATCGTTTCAGTTATCAGAAAAAAGGTCTATAATATATTTTGTTTCGCGTTTTACTTGTCTCTAATCATAGCTTTATTGGTTCCCTGATAAATGATAGATGATAGTATATTCGCGAAAATGGATTACCTAAATATTTTATGAGCAATATGCGAAATAATTTTCTATTTTTAGATGCGCATAAGCGTTGAATTAAGTCTCGTATGAAGTAAAAAATTTAATCTCACTTTACGACAAAGTAAACCTGCTTTCTGTTCTTACATCACTCTTATAGGGTTCATAACTTTATTTTTACTTCTACGAAATGATTAAAAATGGAGAACAACGCAAAAAGACAGCGAATATGGTAGAATAGTCGTTGATTTAAAACATTTTTACGTAATTGGTCTTCAATGATTCTCCTCGATCCGCAAGGACTTCATAATCCCTGTAAAGATGTGATGAAGGTATAAAGACAAATCAATTAAGTAACCTCCATCAATTCCCTTAATACAATTATTCACGTAACGGATTTTCAAAATGAGTTATTACATGGGAAGTGATCCGAACCGAACTATTCTCAATAGCGCTCGTCTCTGAGCCAAAACATGTCGGCGGTATATGTCAAATTTCATTAAAATATCTCAAAAATTGTGACTTTTATGTTACACACAAGAACGCAAGACGGCCAGACGGACAGACAAGCTTATAACGATTCAGAAAGTAACTCAGAAAGTGATTCTCGAAACGATCGGTATACTATAAAGTGGGTGAGCCTAGTTTAATTCCTTCCGGTTGTTAAACACAAGATGGACAGACGGACAGACAAGCTTATATCGATTCGAAAAGCGTTTCAGAAAGTGATTCTGAAACGATCGATACAATATAAAGTGAATGAGTCTATTTTAAGTCCTTCCGGGTGTTGCATGCATTCGCCCAAACTTAATATACCCTTCTCCCGCAAACGGTGTAAGGTATTAAAATTAAAAAACTTATTTGTTAATAAAAAGAATGCTGTAAAATCATAATTAAATCCGTAATTTAAGCATCCAAGACAAGAAGTCATATATCTAATAATACCGTAACCTTAAGGATGCCCTTTTATGATTTCTACGTTTCTATCCAATTACTTTGATGAATAAGTCCATACCATTGAATTGTGGTTTTTAAAGTAACATAGGTCTTATTTACAATTTTTAAGAGATCCGTTTACAAATGGATTATTTACAGAACTTTATATTTGAAAAATAATAATGTTTTGTCCGTTCGAATATTATGATTCGATACTCTTGACTCGACTGACGGTATTTACGTTTTGAAAATATTCTGCTTATAAGTAATTCCCCTCCTGCCTTTACGAACACGTTACCAATACCAAATTTTATTGTGAGATTTTTGCGTTAATGACTTCTTGCGTAACTCGTTGGTAATCCTTTCGATAATCGTTGCCTACTTGAGGTAGGATAGGTAAGCATAGAATTTTTTTAGAAATTTGTTTTATTAGAAAAATCGGTTAGTTTTCATTCATGAGTCATTATTTCGTTTTCGGCCCAGATGGCTATGATCTTAAGCTTGAATTTTCAATAAATGAATGAAATCGGTAGAATCGATATTAGTTTTGTTGGAATTTCAAATATTAATTTCGCGTTTTCATTTAAAAATTTTACACAACTAACTTTAAAATAAACAATCAATTAACATTACATTGAAGAGACTGAATTTAATAAAAAAAAGTTAAACACAAATTATAACTCTTTACAAAGTAACCCAAAAAAAAAAAAAACCCAAAAAAAAAATTTAGAAAACCATATATGTATATATATATATATATACATCGATATATGTATAATAGATGCTTATATGTATTTTGGCCAGCGAAATTTATTGATGAAAATAATAAAGTAATGCAAAGTGTTAATGTACACAACGGTTAAATTTCATAATGTTAACCACTCCCTCTCTACATAAAAAAAAAAGTTCTTCCATTTAGGACAATTAACACATCAATGTGTGTGCAGGCGTTAATCATGGAATGCTCAATATGCATTGCTTTCATTGCTTGCCAAGCAAAGAAAGAAAAGTTTTTTTTGGCGTATTATGACTGTCAACGAAAGAGTCAAAGTGGTTCTATTACGGCAATCCCAAAGACGAAAATTCATGGGTTAGGAGGAGGAGAGCCGTCCACATCGGCACTAAAGCGAAAAATTTCGCTGTGCACATGATGGGACCAACAAGTAGTGTAACGTAGTGCATTAAGGGCAGCTGAAACCGAATGAAACTGCTAATGCCGATGCGTACCGACCAGCAATAGCGGTTAACAGTCCAGCAAAGCCATCATCCACTTGCATGCCAACACTCGGCCACACGTCAAGGCTACATCGTTGCAGCTCGTATGGGAAGTTCTACCGCATCCAGCATACTGAGCAGACATAGCGCTTTCTGATCGATACAACCGGGCTTGGTTGGCAAGCGAGGAATTGCGAAAATCGATCGATGATTGGATCGCTGCCCACGATATCGCCATCTTGTCAGAAAGACGGGGAAAAGTTACAGAAAATGATGAAATAAATGCTTTTTTCAAGTGGAAAAATGGCCAAAATACAAATGCAAACATCTAATATATAATATATATATATATATATATATATATATATATCTAATATATAGAAAGACTTGTTCTCATACTTCACCTTGAAATTTCTTCAAACATATCTTTTGGTTAATTTTTTGTTTTCATTTATATATACGCATATGTATATATAGAATACGTACATTAAATGTTAGGAAATGTTTATGTAAAGCAAAAACCACCAAAAACTTGCTGATTTTGGTATAAAAACAAATATAAAGAAAATAAAATTTTTATTGCGAGTATGGTTTTATATGACACTTGTTTTCCTGTTTGATACATAAGATGTTTGTTTGATAATGTTTATAATTAATTATTATTATTAATAAGCCAATCAATCAAATAATATTTGTGAAAAAACTTTTGAAAAAAAAAAAAAAAAAATTAAAAAAAAAAAGCAATGAACTTATGAAACTTTGTATGTTTATGTAAATCGAAAACAAAAAAGTATGTTTATTACTATCATTATATGTGTATATAAATGTGAATTTTATAAATATACGTATGTATATCTATTTCTGTGAAAGTAAGACAACTAACACTGTAATAGAAAAATTACTGGCAAATAAAACTTTTATGTGTTAAAATACAAAAAAAAAAAAAAAAAAAAAGATATGTGTAAATGTTTGCGTATATTATTTCACCATTTCAGACATGATTTCTATCTAACTGTCTCTCTTCTATTGACCGTGACATTCAGATTCTACATGATTCCTCAGCTAAACCTAAAGCTACTGAATGTTGACATTGGCTTGACTTGAACTTGGACTTAAATTTAATTATTGACTTAACACTGCTAAATAACTTTAACTTACCCGTTTCATCTGCGCATCTACGCATATTAAAATAGAGTGATAGAGGTTTTAATAAAAAAAACAAATGAATAAAATTTTATTACCCTGCGTCTGACATTCAGTCAGTCAATATTGAATTATATGATTATGCATATAGAATACACATGCGCCTCGTCGATCTAGAGCCAATATCTGTGAAGAAGTTTTACTGCGAAAGGAAATTTACGAGTTTAATCATTGTTTGCACTGCACGTTCGAACTGAACGCATTTAGAGTTTTTTTTTGTTTTGTTTTTTGGCAAGCGAACTGCAACGCGGAGTGTCATTTCGTTTCTGAAGGAGTTTCAAACACTCATCGTGCACTCAAATGCTCTCTAAAAACTGCATTAACTTATTGCCACTACTGCTGTTTGTAAACTTACACTGAATCTCTGACGATTATAATTGTAATCAAACTTACGACCTGTCGTTAAGTTTGCAAAGCCATTACTGTACTCCTTATCCGATGACGCGGTTCTCCTTTCATGCATCATATTACTCGAGGATTGAATGTTAAGCGGACTTCCCAAGCAATTGCACAAATTATCGCATGCATCGTTGTTCTCATTATGATAGCCATCGCGTCTCCCATTACACTGGCTATGCGGTAAACGTGTCAAATTATTGCCATGTTTGTTTGCAATATGCGAATTGAATTTACGCAATGTGGCCAACAAATCAGCATTTCGTTCCCACTCCGTAGTGGTGGGACGGTGCCTTTGGAGCCCCTGCCCCTGCCCCTGCCCCAACGCACGCTGTTTGCGAATAATAAGTCTTTACGAGAAGAAACATAAAAGATAATAATTATATAATTTTTTATATAAGTTTTTTTTTTTTTTTTTTTTTTTTTTGGGTTTTTGAAGCCAATTTTTTAAGCCATAACAACTATGACAATTGTTCGTTCCCCATTAACGCCCTTAAAACGTAGGCCATTCACCACTTTATCGAAATAGCATCGCTTGAGTTATATTTTCAGGATCAATGGGATCATTGCAAGGTTACTTTCTTGGAGGCAATGTTCCAATACATATTACGCATTACAAACAAAAAACATTTCATACACAAAAGTCACAAGTTTTGCTTTAACATAAATAAATAATCGAGAGAATTTATAAAATGTTTATTAATAAAATTTGCTATAATCTGACATATATGTATGTATGTATGTATGTATGTATATATGCATGTATAGATGGACATTTAATATGTACAGATGCGTAGACTAAATAATTAAATCAACTTTTTTTTTTCTTTTTTTTTAATCATTAAAACTGATCGAACCTACAACTATTTGTCTTAATGTACAACAATAACAACAACAACAAAAAAAAGAAAAAAAAAAAACAAAGAAGCTTTGATCACTTCTTTTACAAATCGGTTTTTTAGTGAATTCTTAAGGTTGAGTAAATGCAAATGTGCTTAATTAAAACCATAATTAATGAAAATATCAAAAATTCTGTCATAAACTATTGATGATAGAAACATTTATATATATACGACTATATATGTATATGCACGACGAAACTGAATGAAAGATGATTTATTTAGTGATAGTTTGCATCGCCTCATCAGCGTAAGTTCTATCATATTAAATCTATCACAATCGTGATTGCCTCTCCGTCCACGTACGTAACTCTAAATGGGATAAGATAATATAATTTAGATTTCGAGCCATTACCACACAGTCTTCGCTGTACAATCGCTCACAGAAACTTGAAGTCCCTACCCATTACAACAATCGTTGTTGCACCCCTATATATGTAACATAGTGACGCATAGAAAGAGAGATGGTGCGGAGAGATCACATAAGATCACATACGCCCGTCCCATGCACTCACAGCTGTGTAGCTGCGATTAAACACCAATCATAATTAAAATATCGTCTATCGCACGACGATGAGGATATCCGAGTATGCCCGATTCATAATCGCGCTTTTAAATTAGTCGCTTATGCAGTAGAAGAGAGACTTTCATATTGTTCCATATTGTTGCATATGCAGAGAACACGTTTATAATATCAAATTTTATACGAACAATAACAATTTAGACGGTGGGTATCAAAAGCTTTGGCTCAAACCGATGCGAGATATTGATATCTCTTCGCTTTTCTATCCTTTTGCGTCCTTTGTTCTTATATGAATTGATCATAAAAATAACATAACGTATCACAATAATTTATTTAGCAAAATGTTTTGCATAATAAGTTTTAAGCTCTTACTCACTGTTCGGTAGAGCTGTTATTAGTGTTTTTATTAGTCTTGTCAGACAATAATGTGACTTGTTCGGCTAGCACATGCTCTTTTTCAGAGTTATTCGCTTCCTTTATTATGATGCTATCAGCTGCTGTTGTGGTCGTTGGCATACTGTCCGTTAAAACGTTCGCAAGTTGCTGTTGCTGCTGCCGCTGCTGTTGTTGTTGATTTGATTCTTCCGTTAACTTTTCAAGTTCCGCGAAATGCGGTTTCGGTGTGGGCGGGCTAACATTATCATCATCTACGCTAACATTTGCTAAAGCTTGCTCAATTTCCGGTTCTGGTGTAGACGTACGCAAACTATCCGCCTCGCTATCGTTTCGCATTAACACGTTCTCACTTCTCCTATTAATTGCGGATTGTACGGATGTTGTTGTGTTCATTTTTTCAGTTATATTTAAAATTTCTGTCTCCCCTATTTTTGCCACGTCTAATGTACTCGCATCGCTAACACCGTTACAGTTACCGTTATCGTTACTGTTATCTGCAATCGCGTCTGTCTGTTGACCTAAATGCAATTTACTTAAAAGCGAATTTTTCGCCTCCTCCAACATTTCGGCCTTCTCTCTTACTGTTTGATCTACCTCATGCTTGACATCCTGCATCACGTTGTCAGCATTTTCCTTAACCGCAATTAAATTTTTCCCCAATGTATCTTTAACGCCTGCAACAACAACAAAAAATTCAAATCAAAATACAAAGTATTTTATTAACTTAATTTATGTGATTTAAGAAACAATAAAGAGCAAGTTAAAAAATAAAAAATAAATAAATAAATAAAAAGAGCCATTTAAGTAGAGCTTTGACTAATTACACTTTTACTACATGCTTGTAAATCATTATACCGTGATACACATATGGGTCAGCACATTGCACGCAATTTGAAATCGATTTAACTCTATCCCTTTTGTTTGTAAATAAGTTGTTGCTTGTTCTTCCTATTTTTCTTTTTTCTTTTTTTTTTTTTTTTTTTTTGAAAGAGGAAAGAATAAGTTTTCACACAAATATATATTGTGATATAAATTGGAAAGTAAGTATAATACATATTAAATACATTCATTCATTCATTCATTACTTTTACTTGATTACTTAGAGAATTAAAATTAGAAATGAAAAGAATTAAAGGGAAATGCTGTGCAATTTCATTACGTTTATAAACGGAATAAATGTGAAACATTATGATCGACTTCTATATATTTATACCCTACCCAACATGTGGTACAGGCTATATTAAGTTAATGCGGACGTATGTCGCCCCCGAAAGTGCTTCAGATGGACCGACCCTTTATTATACCAATCGATTCAGAATCATTTTCTAAATCGATCTAAACCAATCTGCCTGCCTGTCTATCCGTCTGATGTTTGTCCATGTATTATTGTGTTGAAGCTACAAACGCAATTTTTAAAATATTTTGATCAAATTTAGTATACAGACATACTTTAGTCCAAGGACTAGTAATCCGATATTCTCAAAAGCCGTTATATTGGAAAAATTTGCAATTTTCAGAATTTCTCGGAAAAAGTGCCCAAGTAGTAGTGTTTCGGTATTCTAAATTGTTGAAAAAACTTCGGATCGGCTATTGGGCAATTTTTTGAACCCGCTCTCATACCGTCGTTCTTGCGAAAATGGAAGCTTTACATGGTAAAAAGATCGAAATTATAAAAAAAATTGAAAAAAAGATCTACCTTACCGAATTGGAACCGCAGGGATCTATTTTTTGGATACCGCCAAAAAAAAAAACGCAAACTTTTTTATGCCAAAAAAGTCTAATTGCAAATGTGTTTGCGATGAAAATTTGTTTACGGTAGTAATTAAATAGAAAAACTAAGTTGACCTAATTGGAATGACATGGGCCCACTACATAGAAGATATCTCACGATACCGTAATAATTCACAGTAGCGTTTCACATAAAAAATTAGGGGCAGTAAATTTGGATCACATAGGTCGATTTTTTTTCGGACCCCAACATACAATCGCACTATCACGGGACACAAACTCTTACATGGAGCGAAAATCGAACCTTTCAATATACGGGCTTTCATGACAATTATGGCTTTGCTTGAAAATAATGTCTACTCTATGGAGTAACTGTACTAGGCGAAGTAGTGTTGAATATCAAAGAATCGGCCTTGCCCGACTATGATGTTCTGACTTGTTTCATCTTAATTATATCAAAAAGTGAATCTTATGCCGACATGTAAAACCTCATCCTTCATAAGAAGCAGCGATATGAAAGGATGCTGACACAATGGTCTCATCGCATCTAAAATTTCATTATTCACTTATTATGCTAAAATAGTCTATAATTTATCAATGTCATCAACATAAAATATATTAAAAAGTTCTTTTACGGGTAGTAGGGGTGAAAATGAGCCAAAGGTCAATTTAAGTTGTTTTCCTCACGGTTTATCTCCAAATTTCATCAAAACATTGCGAAAATTTTACCATATAGTATAGTATGAGACAAATATACAAGTATAAAAATCAAACAGACACGGGAAAAACGGACCGACATGCTTAAGTCGATTTAGAAATGACTTTCAACCGTTTGGTACACATAAAGTGGCATCTGCCTGACTTCTTTTCATTCTGACGTTGCATAGATTCGGGCATATGTTGCATACACCATTACCACAGATGCTATAGAGTACAAATATATAACACAAAGAACTTGAATGAGATTTTTCCGATTTTTCCGCTATTGCTAATTACGGATGAACCTAGAGATCAATTTTTGCTGACTTTTAAACTTCAAACTTCAAAAATAGCTGACTCTAAACTTCCAAAGCAATTCTTAAGACCGCAATTAAGATTTAAGCGAGCAGATGTGATTAAACAAATGTAACCGTTCGGACTGAGGAGTCAATAGTTCCCGAGACGTAAATACGGATGTCGCTTCTAGCAAAAAAAAAAAAACAAAATTCATATTATTTCTAAACAGTGCCAAAGTACTTCAGAGGAAACCTATCAAAATTTCCCATCATTCCAATTATTTGCTACCAGTCAACAGTATACATATTCCCATGTACTAGGGAAATACAGACACGTATTGATTCAATATTGATTTTTGATCGGAAAAAATATCCTTCAAAGTTAGTATTGATTTGAATAACATTATGACCAACATTTCTTCTTCGAAAACTATTTTTCGATGCTTTCCTGATATTAAATGGCACCGTAGAAACATCGATGACGTTGAACGTGGCGAATGCCCAAAACAATTGAGAAGTGAAGTGAAGTGCAAAGGACAACTGTTGTCCCGAACAAATCACTGCTTTGCATAAAAATTCGACCAAGAGAAGATTAACTTGTAAATCAATAGTCACGATATCGATTTTAGAAGAATTGAAATTCGAATTACTTCTGCAAACACCGTATTACGCAGATCTCGCGTCCATCGACAGTTATCTGCTCCAGACAACAAGATGCAAATCAAATGCTGAGGTTATTGCGAAAACTAGAGCGCACAATGAGAGCCTCGAGTAATCGTTTCATAAAAAAGGCATCGACGTGTTAGAGAGCGTTGCCGAACTGATTGTTTCACTCTCGAAGGATTGGTAATAAAACTGGAAAAAAAGGCGTTGCTCTTTTGCTTAGTCCTGGGAATTGTTGACCGACGTATTACATACAGAAATATTATATATATATATATGACAAAGTTAATGTACCTGTGGCGTGGGGTACAACAAGCAAGCAAATTTCTTCCACGAATGCCCTAAATAAGACAGAGCGCGAAAATTTTTTTTGTAAATTACAACAACGCCATTAAGTTATTGTATTCTGTTTAGAAAAAAAAAAAAACAAATCTTCCTTCGATTTATTACTCTCTACACTAGTGCTGGTTAAAGGGTGTATTAAGTTTGTGTGAACAGAAGGGCATGAGATAGACCCACCTTTTATTGTATTAATCGACTCAGAATCATTCCCTACCTGTCCGTCCGTCTATTTATAGATCTGATGCACACATTTACATTTGTGAGCTACCTTGTAAATCCCTTAAAATTTTTTACAATTAATTTAGCCTCTTGTGTGTATGAAGAGGGTATATATGAGACGATTTTGGCAGTGATAAATCCCGGATATAGTAATGAAATTAGGTTTCTCTGTTACCCAGGCGCATTTTGGACCAAGGCCGTATTCTATTGGAAATGGTTCGGATCGGTTCACTTTTTCGATCACTCACTATCACTATTTAACGGCCTATTCTGAAAAGTCGTTATATGGGGAAAAATTGCGATGTTCAAAATTTCTCGGCAAAAGTGCCTAAGTAGTAGCATTTCGGCATTCCAAAATGATATGTAAGGTCTGGATCGGCCGGCGAAATTTTTTGAGCCCGCTTTCGTATAACCGTTGCTGCGGAAATAGTAAAAAGATCGAATTTCCAATATTTCATGGTGAAGATTGACAAAGGAATCTATCTAACTTTCCGAATTGGGACCTTACATATAGGTGTATGTTTTTTGGACCACAGCATATATAAACGCTATCGCGAAATGGAGAGAAAATCTCACCTTCCAATATTCGAGCTTTAATAACAAATATGGCATGGGTTCGAATAACGGTAACAAACGATAAATCGTAACTTAATAAAGACATATTCCGCAAAGACACAAACCATACAAAAAATGCGAGCTATCTTCACTTCTTCAATAAGTTTTTTTTTTTTTTTCATTTTTAATTTTATAATAAAAACTATTTTAAATATTAAATGTAAAGCAACGCCCAAACGTAGACTTATAAATGGCAAAAACTGTTTATCGTTCTTGTCTACTTGGTCTTGTATTAGCGGTACTATTTTTAGTGAAGCGTTTTTCGCAATAATTTAACATCAAAGTGTACATGCACTAACTACACTTGACATGTAAGGATACGAAGTAAAAGAACTGTTGTACAAGAGTGCAATATATGTGTATGCGTGCATAGGTGTGTATTCGCCGACAAAAGGATTTCGTTTACTTGGCAAGTGACAAGTGTTTTTGTGTATTGAGATAAGTGTAGCATATCTCTTATAAAGGGTTTCCTTTTCTTTCTCTGTTGTTTTTATTTTTTTCATAAGAAGAGACATTTTTTTTATAAATGAACATGTGCGAGAGACGATAAAGTAACAAGCAAACAAGCGAATGCATAGGCAAATGTACATTAATTCATGTATGTATGCAATCACAGTACAATGTATGATACTTGGAGAAAGGAAACTCAACACTTTTCGCATAGTTCACTAATGACTGTTTAAGATTTTTTTATTTTGTTTTTTATATGATTGTTTTCTTGTTATATTTTTGTTTCGTTTTTACCTTGCACAGCACCTTCAGCTGTTTTAGTTGCATCCGAGACAGCATTTGTGGCTGCTTTTAACATTTCACTTCCGGCAGTTGTTATCAGAGGTTGCGTACTGCTGGCACAACCCATGTCCAAAATTAATAAAAAAAAAAAAATTTTTTTGTTTTTTGAAAAATGCGAATGCCTATCTAAAGGCTTTTATCTAATTGCCTTTTAAAATATACTTATTTGTTATTTTTGTAAAATATTTATAGAATTTAAGAACGTTGGTAAGGGATTAACGTATTATTTGGCCCTTTTTCTATTTGCTTTTTAAATTAATAAGTAGCCTTGTCAACGCAACAGAAGTGTTTGGACACGCAGCATTTAGATAACTAAAGGTAGGAACGCGCTTTTTATTCCATTTAACCGTAATACCAAGTGTTGGTCAATATTTTTCTATTACTTATTTCCCCTTTCGTTTCTTGCTCTGTAGTTAGACTGTCCAGACCATTTAATATCCTATAAAAAGGTATGTTCGTGTTTAGTTGGCATTTACGTTAAAATATTCAAATGTTGTTATGGTTGTTGCTATTGTTGTCGGATTCTCTTTACCCTTAGTTAAAGTTGATTGGATATACTCATTCCTCGAGGCACGCTAACTACCGTTAACCCACAGATGAGATCATAGCGGTCTATTACAAGTTATATAGAAGAGTGCATGCTTCATTGTTCGATGGCCTATTATTATCTCTCTTTCTTTTCTATCGTCCTTTCGTTCTTTCTTTTGTTCTTTCTTTTATAATCTTTTACTTTTTATAATTTTTCCTTATTTTCTTTTTTTTGCTTGAAAACTTTTTATAATTGCGACCACAAATCCTTTAGAGAAAAATAAAAAAAAAAAAAAAACGCTTCAGCTTAATATATAAACTTTTATTATAGGCTTATTATATACAAAAATACAAAAGAAGAAAATGTCACAAGAACATTTTTATTATTATATCATGTGAATGTTGGTTGACTTTATGACTTTGATTAGTTTTTTATGTGCGCTTTCAAGGCCACCAAGTGTAAGCGTTTAAGTTGCATTCGCTTCCATTTCACATTTTTTAATGTTACTGTTCGAATTAAATGCCCGACACATAGGTGCACGCAAGCGAAGGCTCATACATTATAAATCCATGTTTAAAAACATCAATTACATGCTTATCCAACAAAATGTTATATCGTCTAAAAATTGAAATTTAATTAACACTTTTAGTGTCTCATCGCGGAGCTAAAACAAATAAAAACATTATACCCATTACGTTACGTTACATAACATTATCCATATAAAGGACTGTTCATAGGAAGACTTTATATGGGAAGTATTGAAAAAAGTGTCCCGATCCGAATTATTTTCGATTGCGTTCATTCTTTAGTGAAAACACGTACGCATACCAGATATCCTCCAGATATCTCAGATGGACAGACGGACAGACAAGCTTAGATCGAATCAAAAAGTGATTTTGAATCCATCGCCAAGCCATACTGGCGTTGCATACATCTGCACTTAACTTCACATGCCTTTGCACCACAGGTGCTGTAGGGTATAACAAACAAAATTCTCCATTCAAAAAAAAAAAAAAAACCCCCACACTTTTAATTATACGAAAAAAAAGTAATGGTTACATTTAAACGAACACCGAATAGATATGACTTCAAAGAGCTTTTTCCAAGTAAGGAACTACTAGTGCCTTAAAAACTTAAAAAGATTTAGTTTCTAAGCACCTTCTAAGCAGCTAGTTAGCTTTAGCTGAAAAAATTGAAACCTTTAGCCATAACGGCTTAAAAAAATTATTCGAAAATTCGATTTCGAATTTCGCTCACGTTATTGTGTTAACTTAAGGCATCATTGAACAGCTATTCAGAAGATGAAAATGAAACGACGAAACAAAATTTCCTTCAACATAACTATAATTAAAAAAATTCTCAATATGGTCAGTAAATCAAGAAATGATTTTTTTCTAATTCAAAGAGGTACTGAATTTTCATGAGATCGCAATTCGTCCATTCGCCCATTCGTCGTTGAAAACTGGTCATAATTTATTTTTAATACTTTACCTTCACATGCTTTATGCTAGATTCTAATCTAATTGCTCTCCACTTATAAGATACATACCATACATATGTATATACATTTGTTATGAAGCACTTAACAAACCATTCTTCAATCAACAAGTTTTTACGTGAATGTCACTTAGTCGGCCAAAAAAATGAAAAAATAAAACTGTTTTCTATATTTAATAACAAGCAAGAAAATTATATTCGATCATGACCGAATCTTTTATACCAATCACCGTTAAAAAAAAAAAAAAAAAAATCCATTTTGATACATTACAAGACTGGGCAGGCGCCGTCATCGGCATCGCCCATAGAATATACGTTCAAAATTATTACACATTTATCGGCTCTAGTTTATGGGTAATGACTATACAAAAACAATTTTTCATTCCTTTTGAAAAACAAGTGTTCCGGCTTTATATAGCCCTGTGGGCATATTCTTCGACCGATTTGGCCCATTTTCAGTACACCGATGTGCCCGCATAAACTGCCAGTGTTGCTGCCAAGAAAACAGAGGGACAGGCGGACAGACGGACGGAATTTGATGCTGATCAGCACATTTATATATATTCGTCGTCTCTAAATTTTTCTTCTGGGCGTTGCAAATATTTCAACAAAATGAACATACCCTTCATCCTTCGATTGCGGTGGGTATAAAATAGGTGAATGACTTTTAATTCAATTTGGAAGAATACATAGAGCATAGAAAGTTTTGCTTTATTAAAATGTAATAAGAAATTTGTCCATAATTCTCTAACCGAATTAAAATAACTTGCAAATATATTAAATTTATTATTAGCATACGATGTCTACAAGAGCCCTCTTGAAGTTCAAGTCATTTTATAGCAATGAAAATAACTTTAACACATAATTATAAAATGAATTTATGTGAGTCGTTTTAATTGTTTTTTTTTTTTTTTTTTTTTTTGTTATATTTATTTGATTGCATGTCTTCTTCCCTCATTAGAATATGTTATTATTATATCCTGTAATTGTTTTCTTCCCATCACAAGGTCGTCAACATGCAACCTACCTAAGCGAAATAACTAACAATGTCGTCTAATATTTTATTGTGTTATATATATATATATATATATATATTTCGAAAGGCATGATAGGCAGACAAATCGAATTTTTGTTACTCTCTATCGGCGGCTTCTTTGGAATATTTACATAGTCGGTCATGCGGATGCACTCAAATTTTCACAAATACATAAATGCCTGCCCGATTATGAATTTTTGCATTGGCTCTAGAAAAGTAAGATGGACTTTATTTAAAAATTTTCAAAAACAAGCCAAAGCTACAACTGTCTACCAGATTTTTAATGCCTGGGCGGTGCTAATGTTATTCTTTCCTTCTAACCAAAAAGTTTTCATACTATACTATACTCACACCCATTTTTCGCTAACATACCAAATTTCAAAAAATCGTTAAAAATAGCTCCCGAAAGAAAAGTTTCAATTTTTTTTGCTCATTCGACAAGTACTTTTATATAGACTCACGTGATATAGGTGAATATTGGTAACATTTTCTAGTTTGGCCACACTATAGTCTCAAATTTGGTTGTTTTTCCATATTCATTTTTCGCTCACTTACCAAATTTCAAACATCGAAATAGAAAAAGCCTCCATAAGCAGAATTTGAATTTGTTTAGCTTTTTTGGACGGTAATTTCATATAGACTCATGAAATGTTTACAAAAATATTTTGCTTTTTTTAATATGGAGTAAAGAGTAGGCTTTCAAATCCAAATATATATGTTAATTGTAATTATTTAACAGAGCTTTGTTAAGTCGTTTTCTTATTGGAAATGGTAGGTGTCTTTGCTAGTTAAATTCGAATTTATCTTCACACCCTTGCGATTCTTAATGATTGCAAATCTTTAAAGATGAGGGATTAAATGTTTTTGTTTAATTGGCTTTGCTTAGTAGCCAATAATAAAACCAATAGACTTTCGGTCGAGTCGCCAGGCTGACACGAAGGCTTAAAATTACTTCTTTAAGATTAAAAGCAGCGGTTTCTACTAAAAGACTTTTGCCATCTGCCTCCAACACAGATGTTGGAGGCTACTTTCGGCGAACATCTGAAATGTGGACAACGTTAGCCTTCGGCTATCAAAAATACAATATTACGAGCATGGTGTTCGAAATAAGTGAAGTTATTAAAGAAAATAATTATATAAAGTGTATAGTGATAGAGCTAGAGATAGAGAGAAGTAGAGAGATTGAGATGTAAGTAGAGATAGAGATAGAGATACAAATAGTGATAGAGATGGAGATAGAAATGAAGGTAGAGATAGAGATAGAGATAGGCATAGAGATAGAGATGGGGATAGAGATAGAGATGGGGATGCAGAGCTTGACATAGAGATAGAGATAGAAATAGACATTCTTTATGGGACTAGCTTTAAAGGTTGTTTTTGCGCATTCTAAAGATTTTGGGAAAAAAAATTAATTTTTGATACACTATAATACTGGGTAGACGTCGTCAATTTTTTTCCATTTTTATACTGGTTTTACATCATTATCCATAGAATATGTGCTCGAATTTTTATACATTTATTTGCAATTTGTTTATGAGTGATGAGCAAAAAAACGATTTTTTCATTCCCTTTGAAAAATAGGTGTTTTCCGTTCACGCGGTGCGTATCCTTCGACCGATTTGGCCCATTTTCAATAGCAATCTGCATGCGGGAACTTTCAATATTTCTGCCAAATTTAAAGTCGATAGCTTAATTTTAGCGGCCAAGAGAATGTTTACAATATACACAGACGGACGCATGCTTAACTCGATTTAGAATTTGATGCAGATGAAGGATATGTATACTTTGTGGGGTCTCTTATCCTTCCTTCGGGCCGTTGCACATGGTTTGACCTATGAATACTCTCCTCATCCTTGGGCGATGGATACATATATATGTGAAAAAGATGATTAGCAATAGCGAAGTTGTTACATGCATGCGAATCGTTCAAATTACAAAATTGATTGATAAAAGCAAATACAATACTGTTGATTTCCTGAATAGAAGAAGAAAAGACTAAAAATAAACATAATCCGAATGTAAGAATACACAGCCTAATTTGTTTAATTTTACTTGGAAAAAAATTACAAAAATTAAATGCTTGGAATTTCAAAACCGTATAGAATAGCTATGTGAAAACGATAAGTGCGTGTGTGTTTTTCTAATTTTATAATCACCTTTGTTGTCCTATTTGTGTGAAAACTTATCGATATAAAATTACGTGATTTGTCATCGCTACTTGAATTGATTATAAAAATTTTGAAGTGACTTAGCAGCACTAGTTGAAGGATTGAATTGTCAATTAGATATTTCTCAATACACTTTTTTCACAATAAAGGGAGAAACGATTAAGAAACAAAAAAGAAATCTTATCGAATGGAGTTCACAAGTGTAGCAATAAAATGTGTGGGTGAAAAGTAAAGGAAATAGGAAAAGGGAAAAATGGTGCGAAATTGTTAAGCGAAGTTTTTTGCAGTGAGTCAGTCAAGTAAAAATAAAGTAAAGTCACAGAACATACATATAGGTTTTGCGATTTACGGACGAGTGATTCACTCAATAAAAATGCCTAGCAGCTTGTTGTTTGCTACAAGCAGTGAAGGCCGTGTTTATACATTGTCTACAAGTTCGGCAGCATGGCGAGAATTTCCCTATTTAGGCTTAGAATTTAAAAAGATAAGCGCTGTGCCAAATTTCATGTGGGCAATAGGTGGCGACCGCCAGGTATACGTCCACGTTTACGGTTTAGATGTGCCTATTCGCGTACGGGAAGAGTCTTATGAGAATGAACGTTGGCTACCTATAGAAGGTTTCTCGAAGAAATTATTGCCTACAGATAGACCGCGCCACTCGTCTGCTGATGGAAGCCAAGAGCGTAGCATTGAAAAGATTAGATTGCCGTCAATGGCTTGGCAATGGGATGGTGATTGGCATTTGGATTTAGATTTAGAAGGTCAATCGTTGGCTGAAGATGGCTGGATGTATGCTTTGGATTTTCCGATGAATTATTCCGCTAAAAAATCATGGAATTCCTATGTACGTCGCAGACGTTGGATACGTTACCGTCGATATGGCGCTTTAAACAGTTGGTGCGCTGTTGCTCCATTGCACAAAGATCCAACACAAGAGCCGTTTATTGATGTGGCAATTGGTGGTACCAACATACCGAACGCTCCCCCAGGCACCCTTGTAGTTTGGGCGATTACAGCTCATGGCAGAGTAAATGTCTAGTTTTTGTATTTAAAATTCTGTATTTAAAATTCCTTATATTTTAGGCCATGTTTCGGACTGGCGTTAGCAACTCTTCCCCAGAAGGTTTGCGCTGGACAGCTATTTCTACCCCAGCAGGTAGCGAGCTTACACAATTAAGCGTGGGGCCTACGGGATTGGTTTGGGCCGTTTTATATAACGGTCGCGTCATAGTACGTTCAGGGGTAACACGTGAAAATTTGGCGGGAGAAGCTTGGCTGGATGTTAAACCCCCAACGCCAGTTAACGGTTGCGATGCAACAAATGGTTTGAAAATTGTGCAAGTTTCGGTTGGGACTGATTCGGTGTGGTGTGTCACCAATGATAATAGCGTTTGGTTTAGACGAGGCATTAAAGGTGACGCATCAGGCATTAGCGAAGATGCTGCTATAGGCGGTGGCTGGGTAGAAATGATAGGAAATATATCTACAGTATCGGTAGCAGCCAATGATCAAGTAAGTTTTTTTTACAGTAGTAGTATATTTTCTAAATATATTTAACAATTTGTAGGTATTTGCGATAGGATCTGCAGATCGCGGGCTTTATTACCGTTTTGGTGTTTCTCTATCTGATCCAACAGGCAAGAAATGGCGCCAATTGCAACTGCCAATGCAAATCAGTCGAACTTCGAGTTCAATGTCGCTTATATCCCGTAAAAGCGGTAGCAGTTCTACACCTGGCTCCAAGCATCAAAGTTTCTCAAATCTTTATAGTAGGGAAAAAGAAAAAGCCGTAGTAGAGACATGTGCTCCTATCGAAAACGTAATGCCTCCCGCTACAATCACTTCCGCTGCTTCACGTAGCAGCTCGCACTCCAGTAATGGCACCGCTGCCCCAGCGCACGTTCGCTTAAAAAATGACTTATGGAAGTATAACTCTGACTCCCCACCAAGTATTGGAAGCCTGAATCTGAATGAACGTCATAGAAAGCGCGCGGCTGCTTTGCGTGAAACTACACATGCTTCGAGTGCGCCTGCAACTGAAGTAGCTGAGGTAACTGGTAAACATTACGAAACTCAACTAAAAAATCCTAGAGCTTGGTCCCCGGTTCGTTCAGTAGGCTCAGCTGTAGGCGCGGAGGCGCATCCCGAAAGTGACTCTGCCGTGTTTGATGCCGATTCAACTCACCATGGTTCAGATGCTTTTCTCGGAGATGATGACGATCATGCAGGTGGAATATTTTAATTTAATTTTCTAAAATTCAATAATTGAAAGATTGCACTCTTTAAGGCTCTCAGTTTTGGACAGAATGTGAGGTTATGTGGCTTTGTGTGACTGCCGGTGCAGTGACCATTAATCCTAACAATTTGCCCAACTGGTTTAATGAGCAAGTAGCTGCTGATGGGTGTGTCGATGTGAACGCACCATGGCGTAAAGATATTTTGGAAAAATTACAAAAACGTCAGTTAGCCTTAAATTCCATACCTAACTTGGGGCTCTACGAGAAAGCTGTAGAATTATCATCATGGATTAAGTCGGCTGAGGCTCGCTATCAGCGGCCCGACACTTTAGAATGTGAAGACTGCCTCATAGAATTAGAATGGGTTAGCAGCAATGCAGCCTCGACACCCACCACTCAAAATCCTAGTGTATCAAGAGCAACAGATTCTGGAACATTTACTGTCCTTCACCCGGACGGAGTGACTACTAAAATTCAATTTTCTCTCTCAGCCATAACATGCGTACAATGCTGCAGTGAACCAGCGTCACCACGTCTTGCCATACATGCTCCCTGTTTACCGACAAACTGTTCGCCTGTAAGGTTGCTTTTCCTAAGTGATGCTGAAATGGAAGATTGGTTGTCCCACTTAACTTCAGTGTGCTGCCAAATTAATGAAGTGTCAGGTACACCAGCGAGTAACGCGATTTGGACTACTACGGAAATAGGAGATGTATACGTATTTGATCCGGAAAACATCAAGTTGCAACAATGGGTTGAACAAGAAAATTGTTTCATGCAAAAAGTGGATGTTAGCACCATGGAAACGCCCTATTATAATACCCTCTGCAATGGGTAAAGGCACTACAAAAAAATGTTTAATATCAAAAATGTTAATATCTTTAATTACAGTATGCCATCAGGCACTGAATTGGATATAACAGGATGCGTGTATGATGACGCCGATCAAATACGCTTCGACTTACAATGCCATCCTAATATAAAGTTACGTGTTAAAGTTGAAAAATTTCGTGTAATCGCAATGCATATTAATCCTAGGTAAATTTTAATTTAAACTAAATTAAAAAAATGAGAGTATCACTGGTTTTAACAATGATGCATCCTTCTTGAATCAGATTTAACGAGAAGACCACAGTACTCAATTCTATGGACGATTCAGAATGGCAAGATGAGATGCGTTATGATAAAATGGTATTCGCTCCGGGCGCAACGTTTAATTTGAAAATCAAGTCAGTTCGCTATAAACATAACCGTAAAAAAAATTTAGTTTATCTTACGTATAACGGTGTTTTGTTCTTATCTTTCTTGTAAGGGCTTTAAAAAATCACTACCAAATTATAGTGAACAATAGCCATTTTGCCGATTACAATTATCGCGTAGATCCCGCTGCTGTTACCTGCCTTTATGTATCGGGACGGGTTAAACTGTTCAACGTCACTTATCGTTGCCCCACATTTATAGTGAACTTGCAAAATATGTTTTGGCGCCAGATGGGCGGTCATCTTAAACGCGTATTTACTTGCGGAGCTGGCGTTGTGTGGGGCATGACATGCGATAATACTGCTTGGGTTTACAATGGCGGCTGGGGTGGTAACTTTTTAAAGGGCTTAGAAGGAGGTTCCGGCAAAATTAATCCTATGCTAGACACACACAACTATTATGTGTACGAAAATCAGCGTTGGAACCCCATAAGTGGTTTCACAACTAAGAGTTTACCCACAGATCGCCATATGTGGAGTGATGTAACGGGACGCCAAAAACGTAGCAAGGAGCATACTAAGCTTCTATCATCTCATTACGAATGGATTTCTGATTGGATGATAGATTTTAATATTCCTGGCGGAGCTGACAAGGAAGGTTGGCAATACGCCATAGATTTTCCCGCTACGTATCATGCGCAGAAACGTATCACGGATTGTGTGAGACGACGACGTTGGCTAAAAAAGTGTCGTTTAGTTAGTAGCGGACCTTGGCAGGAACTAAGTCACTCGAAAATTTTGGACGCTAGTTTGCAAGTTATAGCAAATGAAGACAATCCCAATGAGATGAGGGAAGAAGTCTCCATAAATGCATGGGCCATAGCTTCGAATGGGGACGTTCTAATAAGATATGGAGTAACTTCTTTCAATCCGAAAGGTGATAGCTGGGAACACATACCTAGCGAGCAGCCTCTAATCGGCATCAGTGTTTCACCCTCAGGTCAAGTATGGGTAGTAGGACGAAACGGGACAATATTTTATCGCTATGGCATAACAAAGCAAAATCCTTTAGGTAAGTATATAAAAAGAGGTCCATGAAAATACTGTAAAGGAAAATATTGTTCAAATTTCGATAGGTAAAGCCTGGCAAACGATTGAAGCGCCTGCTGGCGTGCATTTTAAAGCTATTGCTGTAGGTGAGGCAGGCATTTGGGCGTTGGATAATTCGAATCGTTTGGCTGTGCGCAGAGAAGTAACAAAATTTTTCCCTGAAGGTTCTCATTGGCAATTCTTACCGAATTTATCAACAATCGCCCCGCACACTGACACTCATGTAGGCTTTAAAGCTGTTTCAGTTGGACCTGAGGTATGGGCGGTAGCTATGAATGGAATAATTTGTAAGCGTTGCGGCATTACCAAAGAGAATCCAGCCGGCTCAGGCTGGAATTTAGGAATTCCAGTAAGTAAATGCAAAATTACCTTTTTAATTATATCACAATAATGATATATACTTTTAGGGTCAATGGCAATATTTATCTGTAGTTGGCTTCTCTTAAGACCAAAATTTCTTATTTATGCTTAATTATAAAAGTTTTGCGATTTTTTTTACATTCCTTCCTTTTAATAGGTTGTTTAGCTATTAAATTATTTTTTAAACCTTTTTGTGCTTAGCGTAATTCATTTACCAAAAAAGTATTGAAAAAACCATTTATTTGCATTTATCATATATTTTGACGCTATAATAAGAATACATTGCATACCGTAAATACACAAATCAAATAGAAATACAATTACAAATATATGCAAATATATGTATATATTCAAAAATCGAAATATGAAAGAAATTTTTATTAAACTCTCCTAAAAATTATAACTTAACACTAAACCGACCCGGATTGTTGAATATCTGCTATAGAAAAACATAAGTAAGTTTGCTTGTTCATTGTTTCCCTAAGTAAATCCAAAAAGTGTGTGTTGAAATGATCTTCGCCTCGAACCGTTTTGGTAAAACCACGGAGAAAAACAAGAAAGAACATTATGGTCGGGCGAATCCAACCTTTAAATACCCTACACCACATTGTCTAACACAATACTTATTTTTAATGTGCGTATTTATGGGGTAACAGGCCTAAAACGTAACCTAATGTAGTATAGGTTTAATTCTTACACAGCACAGAATTCAAAAATAGGCGTACGTGGTCGTTAGACAAAATTTATTTTGTAGAGTTCATTATTGTAGGAAATTCCTAGAATATGGGTAGATTTTCATCACCACATTTAAAATTTAGATTTTTCTGCTCTACAAAGCATCAAATTTTCGTGAAAATCCTTATTAAGATAGGATCCAAAAACTAGGGCGAGATGGTCGAAATTTGGTACAGTTAATTTTTTTATGTTAAATTGCTATTATGATATAATTTTCATCATGAAGCATTGAAAATTATACTGTTTTCGTTATATGAGAGGGGGTTCAAAAGTTGCTCTAGCTGTTGCAAAGTTTTCATATCAATTTAGAATGCCGAAATACTATTACTTAACCACTTTTGCCGAGAAAATTTGAAAATTACCATTTCTTTCCATGTAACGAATTTTCACAATAGGGCGTTATATGGGAGGAGTGGTTGAACAAGTGGATCGAGCCGAACCATTTTCAATAGCGTTTGTTCTTGAGTCAAAACACGTCACTATATTAAATTTCATTAAAATATCTCAAGAATTGCGACTGGACATACGCATAGACAGGCTTGGGCCAATTCAGATTATGATTCTGAATCGACCGGTATAATAAAAGGTGGGATCCTCCGCGCTACAAGATCATTGATTTATCGATGCAAATATTCTTTTTTTGGTTTGTGAAAAAAGAATGGATAAAACCTGTAAATTGAGAGGCTTACACAGCAAATTTTTCTGATAATCCCCTGTGTTAACAGGCATAGATATACCAGCCGAGAAAAGTGAAACATAAGTCCAGAATGTTTATTTGTGTAAAAAATAAAGCTGGAGAAAAGAAGTTAAAAATAGAATTACAAGGAAAATGAGGACGACGTAGTCAGGTAATTAAAATGCAAAGCCGTCAGCAAAACAAAGGAAAAGAAAAGTAGTGAAAGTGAAAACTTTAGAATATTTAGTATCTAATGTTTCTTTATTTTTTATTAATAAATCGATGTTTTCATATAAAATTTCTTAATTTCTTCAAATTTACAAGTTTACCGCCATAATTTTTAAACAAGGCCCTCGCTAAATTCCCTGTTGAAAGGCAAAGCACAGAGTCGCTTATAATAAATAAAAAAATTGCCAAAAATGCTCTGAAATGGTTGAGTGCCCAACTAACAACTTCAATTGCCAGAAGTTAAAGAAAATTGATGCGCCTGACAAAAGGAAAATTAATTTATGATTAAGTTAAATTTTTAATAATGTTAGTGACCTACTTTTAAAACCAGAAACGTCTTCAATCAAGTACATTGATTATATTACGTTATATAATATATGAGTCGATTCGAACCCGTGTTATAATCCTTTAAACATATCGAACTTCATTTTGAAGAGCACTGTAAATGAACGAAATATTATATCATATAGACAGAATTTTTTGGAATAAGTAAAAAGTTATAAAATAAATAATTCAGTTGGTAGTGCACGATTAAGTTCTTCAATGCTAGTCAGTGATATATGTAGCTTGTCATCATTATTGAACCTTAAATTTAATTTAGCGCACGTGGCATACACGAACACTTACTTACTCTAAATTGCGTTGATATTTCTCTCTGTATTTGAAGTTTTTACTGAATATCTGAATATATGGAGCAAAATAAATGAAAAAGAATCAGTTAAACAAAGAAAATTTCAAAACATATTTTTCAACTTATTGATGAATTTAAGATTATCATTTTATGTTCATTAGAAATGTTTAGTAACCATTATTAGCATAGGATTAATTTTAACGTGGCCAGTTACCCGATATTTAGCAATTTATTTCTCTCCATTATCTATTTTATGAAGTAGTACAAAAATTATTCTTGGCTTATATAAGAGAACAATTAACTCTACACGTGTAGGCAAGCGTTGAAAAGTGGTGAATTTTCTCTCTATCCGGGTAAAGTCAACTTTTTAAAGGATAATGCCAGCAATACCACCACGGTACCAGGGTTGCCAAGTTCCTCTGTCAGAGCAAACAAAATTTTAATTAGAAATGCCAACAAATGTTATACAGAATCGAATCCCTTTGGTCTATTATTTAACAGAATCGATTCCCTTTTGTCGGTAAAGTTGGGCATTTGGTCTGTTATTTAACAGAATCAAATCCCTTTTGTCGGTAAAGTTCGGCATTTGGTGTGTTATTTAACAGAATCGATTCCCTTTTGTCGATTAAGTTGGGCCTTTAACATTAGCTGCTTGGCGTTAACATTTTTGTTAAGTTGGGCATTTACGTTGATCGTAAATCGTCTTAACTACTTGTTGTTGTTTTTATTTTATATGCATACAAGAGCAAATGTTTCCAAATTGTCATAATGCCGTTTAAAAGTTGGAAAAAGTGTATTTCACCACGAAAAACGTAACTACATTTGATTTTGTATATTCCCAAACATTAGGATATAAGCGCGACGTTATCGTGCTTGCAATACTATTTATTTAGGCTTATTTGATAATATTGATGAGTAGTAACTTGGCGGCACTTTCAACTTAATTTTTGCCATGCCTGTTTTTAAAGAGAAGAAGAACGATATCAATATAAATATATGATACTCTCGCATCCCTAACAAAAAATAATCTTAAAGAAATAATAATAAGGAAAGGAGCGAAAAAATTCGAATCAATTAACGAAGTTATTGGGAATAGATAATGGCTGACAATGATTTAGAAGCTGTACGAGCTCAACGGTTAGCCCAATTACAATCGCAATATGTAAGTTTCATTTCCTGTTTTAGAATGTAAAAGCTCCAAACCGATGGCCGGCGGAAATGTTTATATATGCATGTGCCTTATATATAGAGAAAGGGGGTTAACGGGAAAATGTTTTTTTAATTCTCCAACTGACCGATTATATTTAACATTTATTAAAATAATGTAATCGTCAACTTGGAAGAAATTTTAAAAGGCTTCTGTTTTGTATGAAAAGCAAAAATGACTCATTTTCTTTGCTGCAATAGATAGGTAACTGGGCAACATAGATCTTTACGTAAAGCGATGTCTTTAACAACTCAATTAATCCAGTCTCTTTCGCATTTTTTAAGGCTGGTGGGCACAATGCACCGGATAAGCAGAAAGCTCAGGAAGAACAAATGCGTCAACAAGAAGAGATAAAAAATACTATACTTTCTCAGGTGTTGGATCAACAGGCCAGAGCCAGACGTAAGTTAAAATGACTAAGACTTTGCCAGTTCCTTAAAAAGCAAAAAAAAAAAAATTTACTTACTTTAACAGTAAATACTTTAAAGATTAGCAAGCCCGACAAAGCCCAAATGTTTGAAAGCATGGTTATACGTATGGCACAGATGGGTCAGATTCGCGGCAAACTAGATGACGCACAATTTGTTCATATTTTGGAAAATGTTAATGCCCAGATGCCACAGAATAAAAGTACCGTTAAATATGACAGGCGCCGTGCTGCAATCGATTCTGACGATGATGATTACGGTTGCTGATTTTTCAAGAATTATTTAAAAACTGGAACGTATTTTTTTTAATCTTCTTAACGTTTTCTGAATATTTTTGGTATATATTTAAAAATTTTAATCTTCATAAATAACGTTTTCTGAATATTTTTGGTATATTTTTAAAAATTTAGTTCATATGTAAATTTGAACAAAAAAAAAGAAAAAAAAAAACGAGAACAAATAGAAAATACAAGATTATTACAATGAACTTAATTCGTAAGCTTACAAAAGTCTGTAAATTTGGACTAAGCTATTTTTGGCATAGAATGTATCATCATCTTTGAAATGAATATCTAGGCAAACTGCACCTACTGTTATACTAAATTTTACGATTTATTCCTTCTTTTCATGGTCATCTTCGTCTTCGTCTTCGATCACCATACAATCCCCACAGAAAATCGAGTATAAAATTAAAGAAAGAAACCCTAAAGGTAAACCAAAAATAACTGTGGTAAGGACCGGATTACCGCGCCACATTTCAATGAGAGACTTTTTCAATTCGAATAAAGCTCTATTAACTCGTACTAGATAGGTGTCACCACCCAAAGCGATAGCACTTTCATTATGAATTGCTTCCAGAAACATATGTAAAGCCTGTGGTGTCATTTGTAAGGGATCATCGTCAGGTAAATAATGATGTTGCGTAGTAGAATTAATTACAATTAGATGCGGCGTAGGCAGTTGATCCATAATGATGGAATGGGCTATACTGGGATCTCCAATCTACGGAAATAACATATATTAGCAAAAGAGAAAGAAAATGATGCAATTTTAATAAAACTCACCCAACCGAATTGAAATTTTTCGTGATAACGTTCTCTATGTTTACGTATTACGCCTTCTACCATGTCTCTAAACTCCAATTCGTGTGTGGCCACTTGATTCAGTTTGTCCTCTTCTACCACCGCAACAACTAAATTCTTTTTAGTTTTCAATAATTGGTGTATATTGAAACGTGTGATTTTAGGGAAGCTTACAAAACGTTCTACATTAACCCAGTGGTGTATAGTTTCGTTAACCTCGAAGGGATCCATCTCATGAGCTCGATGGGCACATGGATAAAAGTGATGCTGCTCCTCTTTATAAACGATGACCGCCGGTGGATGTTCAAAATCGAAATGATGAGCAGCTATATCTTCAGTAGTGGCATAAAAGAAACCATGTTCCTGATAATTTTCAGCTGCTGCGTAATAAGTCTCCCAAACGATACCCTCTTGCAAGCCCACAAACATAAAGAATATGGTATGGGAGCCCTTGAGCATGTCTACACTTTCGGTGCGTGTAACTAATTGTACGGGAGGTCCGCTCATTCTTAAAGCATAATCTACAAGCTCATCGCGGCTTCGATCGCCGTGGTAAGTAAACTCCATATTACCTTTTATGAACATAATAGTGGGATAAGAACGTATTTTAAACTCCCTAGCTGCGGCTGGATATTTGGTGCAATCCAACCGACCTACTCTGACATTTGTGGCATGCAGTGCTTGGGCCACCAATCCAAAAATTGGTTCAGTTCGTTTACAATAACCACACCATGGTGCATAAAACATAACCAGCCATTGACCTTCATGTCGTACGTCAATAAAACGATCTGTCAACTCTAGAACACGGGAAGAATCCGCTCTGCGCCAGGCGAATAATGTTGAGGCGCTAACTAGCACGATGAAAACTATAAAAAATATGTTTCGGCGAGGTATATAATGAAGCAACCTTTTATTTTAATATTTGATTTTACCTGTTAGAAAAGCTCTCAACTGGCTGCAATGCCACAACATTTTCGGTGTCATTTTTATAATGCAAATCAAATCTTAATTCAACATTTCTATATCCCTTTGGACAATAATTGATGGTACTTCGTATGCCTTTTGTTTATTATTTTATACAACTTTTTTAAATTAAATTAATAAAAATTACAAATACATTGAAAAATTTTTGTAAAATCAACCCCATCAACAAATTGTCAAATACAATAGAAGGGGAAAAAAAGATAAATGGATAAGATTGGCCAGGATTACCAATACTTTGTTATATTAACTCACTATAAAGATCTATTTAGTAGTCAGATATTAAGGAATAATTGCATATAATTAATCAAATACAGTATAAGCGGAACTCAATTTTTAAAGAAATTGAATGTTCGAAGTTTAAAATATGAAAACTTTTAAAAACTAAAATTATACGAGAGTTTCGGTACTTAATAAAGAAATAATAAAGACAAAAAGAAGCGCGTAGATAGACTCACGGCTAGACCGTATAATATTGTATGCATACTAGTTACATAAGCAACTCTTTAAAAAAAATCATAAAATAATTTCGCGAGCGACTTTTATGAATACATTTAAAAAAAAAAAAAAATTCGAAAACGTTCCTGAAGCAGAAGTATTACTGCAACTAATACATAAGACATGCAGTTTATATTTCTCTCATCCACGAGACAATAACACAACACAGAATCACAACTTACGTGCTTTACTGAAGCAAGATTTGGCGTTTGTTTATATTTGTTGTTTTTTTTTTTTAAATGCGCAAATAGCCCTTTCAAATCGTGATATATTTATCATATGACTTTCTTTAGTCCCTCATAAATGCATCATGGTTTTGCTGGTCAGAGACAAACCAAGCAGCAATTTTAAAAGTTTGCTAAAATTTTGCTTCTATACAATAAATATGGTAACCACATGGCATTAATTGTATTTTGTGAGTTCATGCTTGTGTTCAGCACTTGTGAATTGTTCTTTGCTCTTTAAAAATAAACTCCTATTATCTACAGCTTTTTATTTTCAGTAATAGAAATGTCCTATTATTTATAAAAAAAAGTACAGGATTATGGCAACTCTTCATATAACAAACATGTGCCTTGGAATATAATTTATTTACAATATATATTTTTGAGTTTATTTACTTAAAATTCTGGCTTAGTCCATCTTCAATCAACATACCAAAAAAAAAAATATTTACCTAAAATGAAAATGGAAAATTCAGTGTGTGATCTACGGAAGCGTTGTGCGAAAATACATAATGTTCGTTTCTACAATATAACACCACGTTCCATTCAAACAATGGCATACAATTTTATTTGGGGAAAATTAGCTTTAGCAAGGTGAGTCGGCGTAGGTTTCATATATAATTTATATATATTTATTTTCAATTACCTATCAGGTGTGATGGATCTATCGAGATCTGGGATGTGAGTCATGCTCCCTGCTTAGAGCGAGTCATACCTAAAACCCCAGGCAATTCAGTGGAATGTATGGGTTGGTGCGGTAAACGTTTGTTTAGTGCCGGTTTAAATGGAGAAATAGTCGAGTGGAATTTACAATCTCTACAGCCACGTGTTAAACAACATGTTACCGGCAATACTGTATGGTGTTTGGACATCAATCGGGAAGGTACTGAATTAGCTATCGGTACAGATGAAGGCTATATTAACCTTTTCGATGTAACCGATAATCAGTTATTATATAAAAAACTATTTGACAAACAGGAGGGTCGTGTGTTATGTTGTGCATATGATGCTACCAGTGAATTTCTGGTCACAGGGTCTGTAGGCGCTATACGCATTTGGAATTGTCGTACAGGTCATGCTGTCAACAAGATTAACATAAGTGCCAACAAATATAATAAAGCTGAAGCTATAGTGTGGTCTGTAAAAGTGCTTAGCGATTTTACCATAATTACGGGTGATTCCTTGGGTAATGTAACCATGTGGGATGGCCGTATGGCATCACAGACGGAAACTCATCAGGTTTTAAAAGCTGATGTTTTGGCATTGGCTGTGAACGAGGAGGAAGATAAACTGATTTGTGGTGGTGTAGAACCCAACATTCGCATATATGCAAAAGCCTTGATTAAACGTAATGATGCAACTTGTAATCGCTGGGTGAAGTTTTTGCAACGGCGCGTACACGACCATGATGTTAAGGCTTTAGTTTGCGCTAAGAATTTCATATACTCAGGTGGTGTAGATGGGTGTCTGGGTTTGTCGTCAGTGGCCAAAAACAAAATAATGAATGTGAAATACGGTCCGTTCCTGAAGGTTGGTTTAAAAATAATAAAAATAAAAGCAAATTTAAAAAAACGTTTTACTCTTTCATCTTAGCCACCGTGTGTTTCAGTTGCCAGCAGCCAACGTTTGCTTTTATTACGCTACCCTAACTATTTGGAAATATGGCGTTTAGGTTCTCCCAAGGAGAACTCTGATTCAGAATTTCAAGAGCCGAGTCAGCAATGTCAACTGTTAGCATTAGCTAAAAATCCAGAAAAGTTATTGGAATTAAAAAGTAAAAACGAAGATCCTATTGTTTCGGCAGCTCTCTCCCCAAATGGCAATTGGTTATGCTATTCAACACCAGAATATATCAGATTGTTTCGTTTCACAATAAGCAAAGGCAAAACTCCCTGCCAACTGAGAAGAGTTAAAGATTTACCACAACAATTCGTTCCCTCAACACATATTTGCTTTACAAGCGATTCAAAGCGTCTATTTTTGGTTAATCGTACTACAAGCGAGATAATGATTTTCGCTGTACTTAGTGCAGACGATGATTTGATTAGCTCGCTCCCTCCCCTCGATTTCGTAGAGCTTGTAGACACCACCAAACATGTTAAAGATGGTATTAAATTGTTTACAGTATCAGTGTGTGGTACTTATGTAGCGATAGCCGGAAACGATCGCTCTATAGCCGTGTGGTTTGTATATAAAGGTAAACATTTTAAACACCTACTTAATTTGCCTCGTTATGCGGCAGCTACTACAGCTTTGGCATTACATGCTGAACTGCCACGCTTAGTAGCCGCCTTTGCTGATGGTAAAATTTTTGAATACGATCTCGAGGAAATGTGTTTCACTTGCTCAGCTATAAATCAATTTGTGAAGCAAAGTGAACATGCTTGCATTACCAATATTTGCTTGGATTCGAGAAATCCCGAAATAATGATTATGCAAACCGAGGCCGTAATGTTTGTGCTGGAAAAGTACTCAATTCAGCAAGAAACCGAAGATGCACATCTTGATAACTCCTCAAAAGCGGAAAAATTTAAGAAGTGCCGGACATCATCAAACGAGGAATCAAAAGTTTTGTCCTTACGTTTGAAACAACACAAGGCGTTCCAGGTACTTTTAAGCTGGATTGTTTTGTTCATCGATATCATGTTGAAAAAGTTTTTTTATACTCACCGCCGACGGTTAATGTTATATTCATTTGCCGCAAAACATTCGGAATACCCTGAAAGAAGTTTTGAAAACCCTATATATATATGTATTAGTTTGAGGAAAAAGAAACCCATTATTTTTTTGGGTAGATGGCTGCACTGATAGATTTCTCGTAAAGTATCGATCAAACAATTTCAGATTTTTGCTCGTTGGAAAGGTGACATTTCGCAGTAAAAAAAATTCTTTTGCTGTTTTTTGTTTGGTGCATTCAGTTGTGAGTTATAGAGTGGTAAAAATGGAAGTGAACAAAGAGAAAATTCGGTACATTTTACAGTTTTTCTGTGACAAAGGCGAAAATGCAATCCAGGCGGCTTAAATTGTGAATGGTGTTTATGGTTCCGATACTGTAACAGCCAATTATGTGCAATTTTGGTTTCGTAGATTCCGTTCAGCAATTTTTGATGTTAGAGATGCACCTCGCACAGGTAGGCCGGTCGTCGAAAATGTCGATAAAATCGGAGAAATGATCGAAGTTAACCGGCATGTTAGCAGTCGTAACATCGCGCAGGAGCTAAAAATCGACCATAAAACAGTTTTAAACCATTTACACAAAATTGGATTCAAAAAGAAGCTCGATGTTTGGGTGCCACACCAATTAACAGAAAAAAACATGATGGACCGAATTTCCATCTGCGAAGCCTTGGCCAAACGGAATGAGATAGACCCATTTCTTAAACGGATGGTGACTGGAGATGAGAAATGGATCACATATGATAACCCTGTGCGAAAACGATCGTGGTCAAAGAGCGGTGAAGCATCTCAAACGGCCAGGAAGGTTTTGCTATGCATTTGGTGGGACTGGAAGGGGATTATTTATTATGAGTTGCTTCCATATGGCCAAACACTAAATTCTGATCTCTACTGTCAACAACTGGACCGTTTGAAGATAGCGATTGACCAGAAACGGCCAGAATTGGCCAACAGGAGAGGTGTCGTGTTCCACCAGGACAACGCTAGGCCACACACATCTACAGTGAATCGCCAGAAACTTCGGTAGCTTGGTTGGGAAGTTTTAATGCATCCGCCATACAGTCCGGACTTGGCACCAAGCGATTATCATCTTTTTCTTGCATTGCAAAATTTCTTTAATGATAAAAAATTGGAGTCTAGGGAGGATTGTGAAAATCGACTACTAGAGTTTTTTGCAAATAGAGACCAGGACTTCTATGAGAGAGGCATTTTGAAGTTACCTTTAAAATGGCAACAAATCATACAACAAAACGGTGCATATTTGACCCAAATCGGACAATCTGAAGCATGTTAAATAGAGTGCTGAAGTTCATATAAAAATAATGGATTTCTTTTTCCCCAAACTAATATGTATTGTAATATATATATTCTTATATATATTCTTATATATATATTCTTATATTTATATTCTTATATATATATATATTCTTAAAAGAGTATAAAATTTCACATCGATTTAAAAATGTCTATCCGTCCACCGCTTTGTATGTCTGTGGTAAACATTCTTTCGATCCCAAAATCGCAAAAACGAACGACTTCAGGTTAGGTAAAAATTTGGAAGTTACTGCAGGCATATTGGTATTGTAATACAAAATAAACTGGGAAAATTTCTTTTTTTAAAACCAAAACAAATTAGGCGTTTTGGTCCTTACCCATACTTGTAAGAGATACAACGATAAAAGCACCCAGAAGCAAGCTCTAGTATATTTCGGAACAAAATATCGTAATTATTTTTATTATTATTAATTGTTTTTTAAAGCATAAAGACGGTGGGTATAAAAGATTTGGCCGTAACGTAACGTAATTTTCATACATGTTTTCTTTGTTTCTTTTTTTTCGTCGTAGCATCTTGTACATTTGTGTTGGTTAAGCTCTGATGAATTGGTGGCGGTGATTGTTGATCCAATTACTCTATTGGAGCAGTTACCGAACGTATTTAGAGAGAAACTTTTCGGAATCATGTAGTTCCGCTTAACGTCTTCATTTTATATTGACATTTAATTAATTATATTTTTACGCAAATAAACTAAGCAAAAGTTTTATTTAATATAAACATTTTAATACACGGTATCAATATTGTGAGTTTTGGGAAATTATTGACTTGGGATTCTGTTCTGATTTAATTTTATTTACTAGATTGCATATTTATGAGAGGAGCTTCAACTGCCCAAGAAATTTGTATTATGTCCTTGTGTAATAGGGATGGGATGTGTGCACTATGCCTATTTACATCTTCTTATGTTGGAGATAGGTTAAATTTCGGTGTTATATGTACGAGTCACTCTTCAGCTTTTTGAACATCAATTTTTCCCGGAAAGCTTGCCTAGGCTAAGGTTAATTTTAATTTGCGAATAAATATTAATTGAAACAACCCAAAGCTTCGCCGCTATCAGAACTACATAATTGATACAGTGCCTCCAAGACATTCGGAATTATAAATTTTTTTTTATTCTATCTCCCAAAAAAATTGTTGATCCACACAATAATTGATAGCATATTTCAATTAATGTCAAGCACCAGAATAATCTGTACAAAGTTGAGGAAATCCAGCCAGTGCTGAGGAAGCAGACATTGCTTTAGATGTATTGCTGTCAGCGTGAGATGGGCTAAACCTTATTTCAAGGAGTTGATAACATTTTGCGAACCTTGTTCGTTCATATAAACAGTACATATTATTGCTTAGCGTGTTCAGAAAGATGGATTTGAGCTCAGTCGCTTGTCTGTCTATTGAAATTATAATTACGTTCTCCTGGTAGTTTCAATAGCAATGTACATGCTATTTATTTCCTTTTTTACCTCAGATAAGCGTTACCTCAGTTAATAATCTAAAATATATGATTGTTAATATTGGCATTATAGCAAGTGCCGGCATAAATTCAAACTAAGTAAGTAAACAGAACATTTTAGCTTATAAGCAGTGTGTGGATACGTTGTACTGTGGCTCGGAAGGCTTTTAATACCCAAAACCAATAAATTATATAAATAAATTCGGAGAACGAACTATTCTTGCCAAAGTTACCTGTGCAGGAATTCTGGCGTCATGCTTAAATATGATGTAAAAATTAGGACATCTTTTCAGTAAATTTTAGTATACGTATGCGTTTAGCATACACGAAACCCATACCCATATGTATACGTAAAAACATTTGAGATACTTCTTTGATTCGACAGATTGTGAATATAGCTAAAAGATATTAATAGGAATTATAGATTTAATTGTTAACTAGTTTTCCGTGTGCGGAATTGGCCAAAAGTCTGGGATTCTGCGATGTAACGGCTGGTATTCCAGGGGAAATAGTATTCAATACCCTCTATGTTGAACGATTATCGGTCGGACTTTTAACGACGATATAACGATGTCAGAGATAAAAAAACTAGTCTTACTGTTAAAGGGATCACGAATGCAACTATCACGACGGAAGTGAGCACTTTCTTGGGCCCTGTAAGCTTAGGGTTAAAGAAACGCTTGTCGTTATAAATGGTCGCACAATAGTGAAGTTCACGAAGATACATTTTGATAACATCGCTAGTAATATCGCAATTGTCTTAAGGGGATCGATCTTCAACTCATCGGAAATCACCTTATAATATATCATAAATGCTTTTTTCCACAATTTGGTCCAAAAAAATGGGGGTGCATATTATACTCGGTCAAAAATTCAAAAACAAAAGATTTTTATAAACATCGAACAACGAAATGATTGGTTGAAATGTGCTTGCGGGCATTGCCCAGGTGGGGCACAAAAACCGCTTTTCATATTTCCCTTACATTCAGAAATGCGACAAATAAAGTCGGATTTGGATATTATTCCAGGTGGCATTACCGTCCACTTCAAATTTAGACGTTTCTCTCAATAAGCCCACGAAGGAAGTTATTGGTCGTAAATGGAATGCATGGTTAAGCGTTGCTAATCATGTATATATATATATATTGCACGTGGTCGTATACGTCAACCGATTCTCTTAGATTTTGCAGAATGGCTGCTTTCGACATGGAATGAATTAGATGCGTCTATTACTAAACAAGGTTTCCTCAAATGCTGTATATCGAATAATAAGAACAGCTGTGAGGTCGACTTATCGTCGGAGGTTGTGCGAGTGGCATCAGATGGGGACGGTTTTTTTAACAAAATTATTTTTATTTTTGCCCATTATTCGGAAATTATTAAAGTTATATGGTTGAAATTTTCCAAATTTACTTTACGGAATACTCTACTCTTTAGGTTTACAAATAATTAAATTTTTCATAAAGCAAACAAAACCGAATGTTTAAAATTATTTTGTGCACATCTCAAATGAAGATATATTATCTGCCTAAAAATGGGTTTATTTTAAAAAAAATATGGTAGACAACGCGATAAATTTTTTCTTAATAATGCCAGCGATATGGGTATCAAATAAAAGAACTCGGAGAGTAGAATGCGAAAAGCATAGTGGTGAGTATGCGGGATTCGGACCCCGCCGATTATAACTTTTTTACTCGTTTATTATTCGTTGGATTTAGAATCGTTTGAAAATCAATTGCGTTCGACTAGAGTGCTTTTAGAAAATTGCAAGAGAGCTCCATCACTATGGCGATCGCAAGAATCTTACAAGGGGGCACCAAGTGAATGGTGTTTCGAAAATTTTTTTTTTTTGTGTTTTTCTATCCTAAAATAATTTAACGGGTAATGTAGTTCTATTGCTAGGATACCCCACCGTGTCGTGTTTTGCTCATGATTGTTAGTCTTTGAACTACCTTGCCTAACTAATTCCTTAAAATAAACAATGCAATCAGTTTTAATCGTAACATTTCGGAAAATTTTTCAGTGTTTTTTTTTAATATTCATTGGCTTAATAAACGCTTTGAACGTTCCAGAATATCGGGAAGAGAGTTCACTAATTGAAAAAATGTTTTCTAGATGCGCTACAAAAAGACTTAGGAGAACCAGAACTATCCTTAATTTCAATTGCACACGTAGGCTGAATTTAGAAAGAATTATTACATACATATGAGCGTGAGCCTTAGCTGACGGAGGGGCGAACTGTGAATAAGAATCTACCGAAGCGGGGACCGAAAGAAAGAACGTGCTATGTTTTCTGAATTTCAAGCTTAATAGAAGCATGTGCTCGAAAGTCAAGTCCGGAAAAACATAACATATCGGATGAGTTATAAACATATAACAACTTAAAAGAGTTTGATGTGAATTTATTATTAGAAGGGTGATATGTTAAACATAAAATAGTATGAAAAGTAATTAAATGATGTCACATATTCAAATGGTCTAGAGTAACTGGAAAGTTGAAAAGGGACCGTATGATTATAAGAAATAGAGAGGCATTGTATGATGATATTCAATGTAATAAATTAAAGTTATATTTGTTAAGTAAAAATAACAATAAATAACTGCTGTGATTAAAATATGGAGTATTAAGGAGACGGGGTTCGAGATGTTGAAATTATGATACGAAACAGATCCGTAAGAAAAAGCAACGATAGATCTTAACTAAGTCAGGAGGCCCAAAAGAAATCAATGAGTTTGGGGGAACTTTCAGGTCGTAGGAGAACGTGCCACATACTCGTAGAAATTTCTCCCCTACAAATCAGTCGTGTTAAACCAATCGTTGATTGGAACTAAACAGTTTAATTTCTTACTTCTTGATGTCTTCCTTCTCTAATACACTAACAGACTTCTTTAGTAGGTGTCTATGTTCGTTTAACAGCATTTCCAAAAAAACAAAAAAAAAAAATACGTTAGTGCGGTTTCATTGAAACCTTATCGTTGCCAAGATACGGAAAGATGTTTGATTGAGACCGAAGTATATCTTTACTACATTTCCGAACTGTGAATGTGTTTCTCTCGAAATACGAATTTTCTAAACGGCTTGTAGCGTCGATCGAACAATAAGTATGGAATACAACCATTAATCAGACGTTCGAGATCCTTAATGGGGCGAAAATTAATCAGATGATACCATGGTTAATTAGAAAACTCGTTTTGACATCGTCAGCTGCTGATAATGTCGAATGCATCGTTAAAAGTAAATTTAGGATCCACTGGATCTGGATTGGCAGCAGCTAAGTTTGCCAAATTGTTAACGCATTCATTGATTTTTATGTCACACTTTCTTGGACTCAAAAGAATTTATTAGTATATTTATGCATTTCTGATAAGAGATAGTTTAAAGAGCGGAGAGGTCCGTGTAAATAACTTTTAGTTTAAAGGCATAGGGGCATGGAAAATACCAAGCAACTGAGCTGTGTGTGAGCGAGGAAACTATTTTATTCGGACTGAATGGATAAAAACGGTTTGTTCGCCTCTTGTTATCAGCGCGTGTATGCAGAGCGTGAATTAATGCCGGAGGCATCGGCTGTTATAATAATGGAAGGCCGATTATACGTTCAATGTTGGCTAAGAGGAAAAAAGTAGACCAAAGTGCCTACCTCTGATGCCTATATTAGAGTGACTCTTTCTACATTTTTATTTCTCTCATCTCATATATTAAAAATTGAAATATATATATAACATATATTTATAAATTATATATATATATATATATATATATGCTTTTAAATACATACATCCATATGTGGTGTACTATCGATAAATAAAAAGTGACTGACAGCAGCAGAACATTCGTCAAGATAGTTTTTAGGCCAAAGCATGAAAAACCAAAACAAAACAAAAAAAAAAAAAAAATGAAAAAAGACTGCAGGCGGAATGTCAATCCATATAATAAAACCAATGTGAATATAAACAGATTGCGTGAGTGTGTTTCTGTAGGTATACAAAAATACTCTGTTGCAACCTATAGAAGCGTCAAGCTGTCTACAGTGAGCAACAGCTAAAAATACCAAAAAAACAAAAACAAAAAAAAAAAGACAGAAAAAAACAAAAAAAAAAAAAAAAAAGAGAAAAATAGCAACAAACTTTTTAAACGTTTAGTATTTTCGACCTTACATGCACATGCACGCTTTCGTATATAGTTACAACTACGTATGAAATGAAAGCTAAATTCAATTTGAAAATGTTTGCCGACAATTAATGTAT